CCAATTAGGCTGTCACAGATGCTGTCTCCAAGTGACCTTGCCAGTTTGCTGATATCGACAAACCGTGTGCGGTTCTGTGTCCCCCTCTTCTGGTCGATGGGACAGGTGATGTCCTTCTGGAAGCCAAGACAAAGCACCATGACATCAGTGTCCTCAGCTGTGATGATAACTGCCTTTGAGCCCACATTTGCTGCATGCAATGCATGCAGGAGCAGATGGGTGTCAGCTTCTTCATGCGTGAAGTGCAGCTCTGCTACTTACTCACACTGATCTTCTGTCAACTTGTAGCAGGTTTCCTCACACGTCATGAACAACACCTTGCCATGCAGCATCTCTCTGTATCGTGGGAGTTTCCACTCTTCCACCAGAAACTTGAGGAGACTGGTCTTGTTGGAGGGACTGCACAGAACTTTTCTTCACTGCTGGACGTGGTGTCCCCCTGCAAGGTTCTTGTACGGGAGAGTAGTGTCTACACCCCGGTTCAGTCGTTCAGCAGCTTTGATCGAAGTCTGTCGGCAGACATCAAAAACAACATCAATCTTCTAACTCTGTACCCCCTCGTGGAGGACCTGGGTCAAGGCTGACTCTGCCACGTGTGCAAAGGTTATGTTGTTGCCATTCATTTTTTGGACCAGGCTCATTCCATAAATGATGGCAGTAGATGGGGTTGGGATGTCTTCTGCAGGAGACACATTCTGTTCAAGCTCTCTGGCAAGTGCAGCCTTGTTTGTTTTTCGTAGGGACCTATCAGCATTTGCCAGTGGTCATGGAGGTGGGCCCAGTGGGTGGGCAAGGACATCCTTCATATTCACCTTCCTGCTTTCAGCCACCAGGATCATGTGGCTGAACAGGTTTCTATCTGCCTTCAGAACCACATCCTGTGCTTTCTTTCCATGTGCTGTTTTTGTGCTGATATTGGAAAATATCTTCAGACTTTGCTTGGTCATCTTGTCGTGGAATTTCACAGATGGTGGGTCCTCAGCTCACCTTGTTTGCTTGAATACCTGGTAGGCCTCTTCTCCTATCTCAAGAGCTCTCAAGAGATCCCTGGTAACACCAGGTGGAGCCATGGTGCCAGTGGAGAGGCTAACCAGATCTGTCTCATCAGGGGACATAGGATTGATCCAGTTATTGTCTATAAGGTCAATGAGAGACTGGACGTCTGCTTCATCTCTCTTGATCCTTGGACCCTGTAGATCTGGATGGGACAGTTTGGACCTGCCTTGACCTATCAGGTCTCTCATCTGTCTGAGATACATGCTTCTGTACTCAGCTGCTAGGTAATATTTGGTCACGGCTCCTGGCTCCAAGCTGAATCCCTTTGTCCCTCCAGCTGTCTGGGTGTCTTTGTTCACCTTTTTTTCTATAGCTTGGTCAACAGGAATTCGGCCAAAAGGATTGGTGGAGCCCAGTTGAACTGAGAAGCCTCCTTCCATTAATTCCGTGTACACATCTGGGTGTGTGATGGGCAGCTGAGACATCTGGGCGTAGTAGTAGGGGAGGTAGCGTGCACAATTAATCCTATCATAAGCTTGCCAAATGCAGCATCCAGTCTCCCTCTCTAGATGCTCGGATGAGCCCCAACACGATTTCAACCATGTCCAAATAGGATAACAAAGTTAATGGTAATAATTGTGTGCATGTTATGAAAGTTTACAATTTATAGAAGCAAAATATAAAAAACATAAAAATTGACAAACTGAACAGAAATCATTATTTTTGCCTGTAGTCCCTGGCCTTAACTAATAATCTTAACAGGTACATTAACAATACATTGAGGGTAAAGTTAGAACTTTAGATGTCTTTACTGAACAGAAATAATACAGAACCACCAGTACTTGCGTCGCCTGCCAGGAAATGATCATGAGCAAACAAGCTGCTAGAAACAGAAGGGAAACAGACAGCGCCAATCTATTCCAGACTTACCTAAGTCACTGAAATTGAAGAACAAGCGTGAATAAATGCAAGAACATTTATGAAATACATGCCTTGGGGACAAACATCAAATTATTTATTTATTTATTGTCTTAATTAACAGCAGAGGTGTTGGAATGTTTTATTTGAATCGTCCGGGCAAATAGGCGTGATTGCGATAGGCGTAAAAACAGGTTTCCTGCGAGAAAAATTCAACAGCTGCTCATTTGGAAAGGTGATCACGTGTTATTTTACTTCTGTTGGTGTCACAAATAAAATGGCACCATTGAAGTTTTGTCACTTTGGGTGGTGCCGATAGCTGGTCTGGCCCAACGACTACTATTAATATTTCCTAGCTTCGTGTATGTTGCACTGAAATCCTCGGATGAATTCCGCCTGCTAAATGTAAATTATGATTATGGATGGGTGGGTGGCGGGAGGCGAGCGACGGTAGCGGTTAGCGTGCAGCACTGCGAACCCGGCGACGCGAGTTAGATTCCTGCTCACGGCCAACACCAGGTGACGATTATCTGAACTGGTCCTGGGCCTCCGCGAGGTCGACTCAACCTCAAATGAGTACCTGGTGCGGTGTGTAAACATCGCCACTCGGGACAAAAAGGCGGCCGGGTGTGATGCTGGCCACCCACCCCCTCGAGTGCCGGCCTTCATAGGTGCTCGCTAACAGCACTCGTTACCCAACAGTCTCTTAAGGCTGTACGGGGGATCTTGCACTGTGGTTCTTCATGTGTGGTAAGCGTTACACTTGATGATGTATTACTTTATTTAATAAATATTAGCATTTTTCACGTTTAAAATGTTATTCAAGTGTGGAACATTCCGGGTTTGAAGCGTAGCTTAGCTTTTAACTTGGAGGTCAGTGGGAAAACGATGATTGTTTAACGAGATATTGCTTCCTGAGAAATGTTCGCGGAAGGGTTCTCGCTCGTTTAGCGAGATATATTCTTGTACCCGTGAGAATAGTGTAGTGTGGCCGTGTAGTGTATAGTGTAGTGTACCCGTGTAGTGTATAGTGTACCCGTGTAGTGTATAGTGTACTCGTGTGTAGTGTAGAGTGTACTCGTGTGTAGTGTAGAGTGTACTCGTGTGTAGAGTATAGTGTAGTGTACCCGTGTAGTGTATAGTGTACCCGTGTAGTGTATAGTGTACTCGTGTGTAGTGTATAGTGTACTCGTGTGTAGTGTAGAGTATAGTGTAGTGTAGAGTGTACCCGTGTGTAGTGGATAGTGTAGTGTACCCGTGTAGTGTATAGTGTACCCGTGTAGTGTATAGTGTACCCGTGTAGTGTATAGTGTACCCGTGTAGTGTATAGTGTACTCGTGTGTAGTGTATAGTGTACTCGTGTGTAGTGTAGAGTGTACTCGTGTGTAGTGTAGAGTATACTCGTGTGTAGTGTAGAGTGTACTCGTGTGTAGTGTAGAGTGTACTCGTGTGTAGTGTAGAGTGTACTCGTGTGTAGTGTAGTGTGTAGTGTATAGTGTACTCGTGTGTAGTGTATAGTGTACTCGTGTGTAGTGTAGCGTGTACTCGTGTGTAGTGTAGAGTGTACTCGTGTGTAGTGTAGAGTGTACTCGTGTGTAGTGTAGAGTATAGTGTAGTGTAGAGTGTACCCGTGTGTAGTGTATAGTGTAGTGTACCCGTGTAGTATATAGTGTACCCGTGAGAATAGTGTAGTGTGGCCGCGTGTCGTTTATAGTGTAGTGTACCCGTGTAGTGTATAGTGTACTCGTGTGTAGTGTATAGTGTACTCGTGTGTAGTGTAGAGTGTACTCGTGTGTAGTGTAGAGTATACTCGTGTGTAGTGTAGAGTGTACTTGTGTGTAGTGTATAGTGTACTCGTGTGTAGTGTAGAGTGTACTTGTGTGTAGTGTATAGTGTACTCGTGTGTAGTGTATAGTGTACTCGTGTGTAGTGTATAGTGTACCCGTGTAGTGTATAGTGTACTCGTGTGTAGTGTATAGTGTACTCGTGTGTAGTGTATAGTGTACTCGTGTGTAGTGTATAGTGTACTCGTGTGTAGTGTATAGTGTAGTGTAGAGTGTACCCGTGTGTAGTGTAGTGTACCCGTGAGAATAGTGTAGTGTGGCCGCGTGTCGTGTATAGTGTACCCGTGTAGTGTATAGTGTACTCGTGTGTAGTGTAGAGTGTACTCGTGTGTAGTGTAGAGTGTACTCGTGTGTAGTGTAGAGTGTACTCGTGTGTAGTGTAGAGTGTACTCGTGTGTAGTGTAGAGTGTACTCGTGTGTAGTGTAGAGTGTACTCGTGTGTAGAGTATAGTGTAGTGTAGAGTGTACCCGTGAGTAGAGGAGCACACACGCGCACTGTCTCCAAGCCGTGTGGGCGACAGGGCACGAGCGGTATCAGTATATTTTTAGTTCGGGATCACTGCGCTTAACTGGCGCCAACAACAACGCGAAGCCCGGTTGCAGCTTGCGCGTCAATTGAAGGCATCAGTGCACGGCGGATTAGCGCATTACTTAATCGAGACCTCGTTGGAAAGGCTTAATTATGCGAGTGATTAATTGGTGAAATGGCACGCGTGTCACAAAGCACCCAATGTTGTAAGGGGGGGGGGGGGGGGCGAGGCGGTGGGCGAGGGGTCGAGACGCACGGGGCGGCAGGGAGAAGCGGAGAGACACGGGGAGACAAAGGCGGCACGGCTGTCGCCGTCTTTCGTGCGCGTCCCGTGCGTCACAACAACGTGGCAGGCAAATCATCGACGCGGCGGTGAGTGCTGTTGCCGGGTAACGGCGTGATGCATTTCTGGCGGTATGTGTTGAAGGTGGATGAGACAGCGATGATGAGTGCACGAGTCGTAATGAGGTGACAAGGGACAAGCAGGCGATGAGTGACGAGGTGGTTTTGTGATGACACTCAAATTTGATGCGATTGCGCGTATTAATCGACGACGCGCGCCACTGATGGTGATCAGCTGATGACGAGCGGGGGGTGAGGTAGCGAATGAAGAGCGGTGACCACGACGACGAGCTCGCTGGGCTCCCAACGCGGCGCACGTGGCCCGAATGTGGGCCATGAGCGCGGCGAGGCCCGGGTGCAACCGCCGGTACCTGTGGTGCCAGGGGTAGGTGGTGGTGGTGGCTGCGTCCACCGCTCATCGCTCCACGCAGCCCCGGGGTACTCACGCGATTCCCCCACCCTCCGGGCTGGCTTCTCGTTGATTACGTGATCCAGACTTGAGGATTAACTCGAATTGAGGGATTATGCGCGGGTCCCGGGGCACAAGAGACGCGCGATGACTGCCCTAGCGCACAGGGGTACTGCACGTCCCTTCCACGCGCTCCCACGGACGATGGCTACATGAGCTCGGTCAACGTAGATCCCACCGCGTGTCTTGTCTAAAAACGCCTACACGGACAAATCCAGTGACAAATCCGCGGTCGAAAATGTACACCGATCTCGAAAGCCAAGCGGGTTCGAGACTGGAAAGTGCTTGGGTGGACGACCACTATGCACAGACAGGTTATAGTGCAGCAACATCAATTGGGTGTACTGTACTTCTACCCTTGCACGTCTATGCGCCCCTCTTTCAACCCGCACTGGCCGGCGTGGTGGTGGATAAGCGCGCTCGAATAAACCCGCGCGGCTTGGGTGAAGGCCGCCATCCAGCAGTGGAACGACGAAGGGGGCTGTCCACACTAAACAATAGGCACGCCACTCGCAAGCGTGTGCGCGTCTTAATTAGCAAGGGCATAGCTCATCGGAAATGCCAATTCCCTCTTGGCGAAAGGAGAGACGCAGTTGTGGCATTTCACTGAAGCCGAGCAACACGCGCGCGGGGACACCGCGTCGATCTCACTCGCGTACGCAGGCGGAGGATGAGGAGACGGCGGTGTACATCCACGACGCAGCTGCTGCATGGAAGGGTACTTACGGAGCTCCGCTCGACGCCGCATTCCACTCTCGCTCGCTGGCGCGTCTCGGGAGACGCTGCGCCCCGTGTTGGCGCGGCGGAGCGCGTAATTGGGGTTCGTTTGGTCAGAGCCCACGCGTCTTCACAACGCGTCCACACAGCTCCCCCATCATCCAGTTCCCTGGCTCAGCGGCGTGTCTCAGCTTCTCAGCTCCCGTACAGCTCGGTTCCCAAGCACCATTCCACCCCCTAAACAACAACCCAGCTCCCGCTCAGCCCTGCTTCCTCGAATCAACTCGGCACGAAGCCTGCTCGGCTACGCAGCAGCACACCCCTCCCCAGCTGACCAGCTCAACCTCGTGGGCTTCTCCAGCAGCCAGAGCTCCCAGTTATCAGTGTCGAAGCGCCGTGATCGACATCACCTTCCCCACGCGAATCTCGCGGCGCAGGGCGCAGCAACCACCAGGAGGCGACTCCTCCTTATCCGCATCACCTCTCGCGCCCATCACTGGGATCACGAGGCACGGGGGAGCAGAGGGAAGTTCTTCAGACTACAATACATGGATTGTTTGATTCAGGAGTGGTGAGGGGGGGAATTGCCCGAGTTCAAAAACTGAGGGCCTCGGAGCGCCTCCCCGTGGGTCCGAGTGTTGGCTTCTTCTTCATTGAGGCGGCCTCGGTGCGCGCAGTCCCCACGGAAGTGAAATGGAGGACTGCGATGGTCGTCGCTGAAGCGGTGGGCTCGTCGTTATCGGGAGGATCGTGATCGTTACTGATATACCATTGACACGATCAAACACATTTTTTAAAATGTTTGCCAACTTATTCACGGCCGAGAATGACCCCCCCCCCCACCAACTCAATCACGCGCGTCACAACGAGCCGACGCGTCGTTCCGCGTACGTTAAAGCAGCAGGTCTCCTCCACGATGAAGACTTCGGCTTAGTGAACATGTGGCCTTTGGAATAAATGAACACAGGTATTCCGCTCGCTGCTAAACACACAAGTTCAGTGTCGGCGCAAACACAGACACGACGCAACTTTCGGTGATTTTACAGGTGGCGTTTAATACCGCTCAAAACCATGCGCATGAGGCCCACGATGAAAACCCAACTGTGTTATTCCACGCGCATTGTACAGTCCTCATAACATCATTTTCAGTTCACGTCGCCGTGTGTTGTGTGCGAGGTATGAGTTGTGCCCCCGTATGGCTGCTGTTTGGTGTTAGGGTCCCTGCAGTAAGATGACGGTTGCGATTCTCACCTGGCCGGACTCCTCCACACAGCTCTGATCCGCCGCTTCGCCTGTCCTCAACGCCTCCGAAACCAAACACAGCCTAGCCAGGGACCTGGAGGGAGCACGTGCCGGGAAGCTGCGTCTGGAGAGGGTCCGAGGAGGGGTAGGTTTCTGGGGAGCAGGAGGGGGGGGGGGGAGCACGTCTGCAGGACGAGCAGGGTGCGTGGGTTCCCACGGACCTCCGCTAGCCGGATAAAGGTGTGCGGGGAAGAGTCACATATCCCCCCCCCCCAACTCTGCTCAAAGTCCAAAGCAACTTGCGGACACCTACCTGCCTGATACGAGCGCACAGCCTGGGGTGGCCGGGCTTGTAAAGCAGGCTGCTGCTGTTGCCGTCACCGCTACGGGCCTTTGATATTTCCTAACGTGGGTGTGATTTGTGCAATATGTAAGCCAGTTTAATGGATGTTGATACGTCTGTCAGATTTTTGTGGCGGGCTCAACTTGTAGCAACATTTACCAACTGCAATCACGACAAACCGCACAATAATGAATGTGCTCTTGTGGTACAGTGGGTGACAAAATAATAAAGAGTTGCTTTGTTTATTTTTGGAACGTAAAAATAAAAAATAAAATAACATTGAAGAGCATGAGCCGATGGGCCACTCTGCTGTTCTTCCGCAGCACCTCCGATTAGCACGGTTGGCTACGTACGGTGCGAACGATGTTCAACATACATACACCAGCTCTCCACAGGAGCTCCACCCCAGCTCCTCACCAGCTCCAAACTAACTCCACACCACCTCCACAGTAGCTCCACACCAGCTCCACAGTAGCTCCACACCAGTTCCGCACCAGCTCCACAGTAGCTCCACACCAGCTCCACAGTAGCTCCACACCACCTCCACAATAGCTCAATACTAACTCCACACCAGCTCCACAGTAGCTGCACACCAGCTCCAAACTAACTCCACACCCAGCTCCACACCGCAAGCATCTCCTCAGATGGCTGGCAGATGCCCTTACACATCTCATGGCTGCAACCAAAATGGAGTTTAATATTTCCACATTTTTTACAATCATTGCAAGAGACTGAAAGTACAGTGTGCAGCTTTCACAAGCAGACAACAGCGACAAGAGGGAAAAAGCCCATCACCAGCACTTACGGCATGTGGCTCCAACAAGCTCACCCATTATTTTACAATCGAGGGATATCGTCCGTAAAACTAATTCTATAATTCACAAAGCAATGCTTTTACATTGGCATCACAAAAGCATAAATTGATATTTTTAGGAATGAACATTAATTGTAATGAAACTCCTTTTAAGTTGACAGTGGTTCAACTGCAGAAATAAAGTCCCGACTCCGTCTCACCGCCGCCACCCATCCCCGCACTCCGAAACAACAAATATTACAATATTACAAATATGGCTGACTTAAGTTGCATTCTCCATTGTCTTAAATAACAATACACGATTTATTCTTTAAAACAGGTTATTAAGGTAAACGCAAGTCGATACTGATGGGCATGGAAGTAAATGTAAACTTTTAAAGTCAAACTCTGCTTCAATACCAAGTTCAAAAAAATAATGGGAGGGAAAAAAATGTCCCGCGACGCCTTCAAACATTGGATTCGACAAAAGGACGCTTTGGCAAGAGAGGGGAGCGGCAGGGCGGCCTCGGTTGCCTCACCACCCGCTCCACAACTGCACCCACGCTCTCCTGGTAGCCGTAAATCCCGCAAGCGTCTTCGTAACACGTCGAGCTCTCCCGCGCGAACCGCCTGCCCGGCATGACGACGCCGCCGCTGCCTGCTCTGGGGGTGCGGAGCGTACGGGTCCGGCTCGCTCGCCTGCCAGCTGAAGGCCCCTCCGTTCGGGCGACCGCACTGAGCGACGCTCTCCGATTGCCACAATCCTGCCGAGGACGACAGGCCGTGGTCGTCGTTGTTGTAATAATCGTTACTGGTGCAGGGCGCTGGGTTTGACACGATGAGGTCCACGGACGAAGTGAGCCAGCCCCTACTCTGCTGACGAGTTGGCATCGGCGGGCACTGGGACAAGGGGACCGGCTGCTGGAGGGACGGCTGCTGGAGGGACGGCTGCGTCCTCACCCTCTTGTCCGCTATGCCCATGAAGGGCCTGGAATAGCCCTTGCTGTCACACTGGCCGTACGGAGGGGATTCCATGGAGAGGCGCTCCTCTGTCCTGGACGATCGGGGGCCCAGCATGGTACAGGTGCGAAACTCATCTCGCTGGTTGCAGCTGTAGGAGCGGCCGCCTCCTTCGGCAAGGCAGGGGGTGGAGGCGCGCAAGCCGGCATTCACAGACAAAAGGGACGAAGGGCACAGGGTGGTGTTGAGGCGTCGCAACTCGGAAGGGCCCATGCCAACGGGGCAGCTGTATGCGTTGCTTCCGAGGTCACCGCACAATCTAGATTTACTGCTGCTCTGTTGATGGTCAGGTACATCATAAGCCCCACCGCTCATGCACTGTTGAACATCGCCGCAGCCAAACATAGCAGAAGGTGGCACATTCATCTCCATGTATTGGTCAGCGATGCACTCTCCACAGGACCTTACGGACTGCAAGGGCCTGTTGCCGGCGAGGTCCACCTTCTGCTGGCAGATGGGCACGTTGCAGCTCTGGTAGCTCGCGGCCCTGTGCAGGGCGGGGACCGGCGCTTCGTATTGCATGTCCATGTCAGAATACCCATTGTCTCTGTTCCCAAGCCACTGCATGGGGGCTGGCGACGACATCAGCATTTGGTCCCCGCGGCCGGAGTCGTGTCGTGAACGGGGCATCATGAGGGTCTGCAGCCCGCGCCTGATCTCCGCCTGTCCGCAAACGTCAGTCCCTATTTGGCACTTGGCCCTCATGTCCTGCTGCAGACCTCCGTGCCATTGCGTGTCTTCGTCCGGCAGCACAAACGACCGGCAGCGCTGCAGAATGCGCGTGGTCGGGGGAGAAGCGTTTTCACAGTCAAACTCTCCGTATGCGATGGACACGGCCCTTTGCAACATGGGCTCCGGGTAACTGCCGTCCCCCCTTCCCTGTCGCTCGCCATAGCGCTGCTCTGCGCTGGGGGGTCCCGGGTAGCAGACCTCTTCGTTTGGCATGGCAGCCACTTGATCGTCTTCTGCTTCTTGCTCCTCCGGCTCCTCTTCCTCCTCCGCCGGCTCCTCCTGGTGAGCGATGTGCTGCTGCTGCTGCCGGCATTCGTCCATGACGCGCGCCAGGAGGCGCGCCACCTCACGGTTCTCGGGGTAAAGTCTCGCCGCGTGCTGCAGGTCCTCGAGCGCCGCGAGGAACTGCCTGAGCTCGCAAATGCAGACACAGACACACGCATATAGATACAGACACACACAGACAAATACAAGGATCCCCATGGAGCCTACACAGGCTGTTGGAGTAAGTTCTGTCAGTGAGCACCTATGAAGGCCAGCACGGTGTATGAGAGCGGTGGTGTGGCCAACACCGCGCTCAGCCGCCTTTGGTTCCTAAGTGGTGATGTTTACACACTGCAGCAGATACTCATTTAAACTTGAGTTCACCTAGGTGAGGCCCAGGACTGGTTCAGATAATCGTCAATGGTGTTGGCCACAAGTGGGAATCGAACTTGGGTCACCGCGTTGATAGCGCCGCATGCTAACTACAACAATAATGCTCCCTACAGGCACACACAAAGACCCCCACATAGCCTTCACAGACTGTTGTGGCAAGTGCTGTGCGTGAGTACCTATGAAGGCTCGTACGACACACAACTGGGGTGTGGGTGGTCAGCACCACGCCCAGCTGCCTTTGTCTCCCTGGTGGCAATGTTTATTGCACACTGCACCAGGTACTCATTTGAGGCTCAGTCGACCTAGGGGAGAGGTCCAGGACCAGTTAAGATAAATCGTCACTGGTGTTGGCCATGAGCGGGAATCCAACTCGGGTCACCGGGTTGATAGCACAGCACGCTAACCACAACACTCATGCTCCCCACATGTTCTCACAGACACACCCAGCACATTCTTACAAAACCACACAGATACACACAATCTAATAGAAGCGCTACCAGGGATGGTGGGGGGTAACAAGCATATTCATCACGTCTGTAAAAACATGTGCACATATGGGGCAAGAAGGATCTGCATGCTCTGCTGGACTGCTGTGACCCTTACTTTGCCTGACATACCGCACAAGGCTTCGGTACATTTTTCACTGGCAGCCTAACAGTGTTTGTACACGGCACATGTTTCCTTTAGAAATAAATATGGTGGTTTCTTCAGTTACCGGATAAGGATTTAAGCAGGGCAGCATTGTAATACCGGCTGTGAGACATCGCTATGATCGTTCTTATACATGTGACTTATATGTGGCAAAGAAACATGATTTCCACGTTGTGGAATTTTTAAAAAATGTGTTATTTATTCCCTGCACCGAAGAAACATTTTCATGTTGTATATCCTTAGCAACCCAGTCAGGTGGCTCAGCGGTAGAACGAGCGGCTCGCAATTGGACGGTTGTGAGTTTAAATATAGGTTGGGGGTTGACTCAGTCCATCATCCCTCTGGGGTTGATAAAATATAGACCACTTTATTGAGAACTTAACTGTGGTTCTCCTATGGATGGACTCACCCCTGCCATAGGAAAGGAGAATTTACACCACTAGCTCAGGGTGGAAAACAGGAAATGAGCACCGCCTCAGTGCTCATTTGAGCAGGAAATCACTTTGATTTGACATTCTTAGCGGATCAGAATGTTGATTCAGACTGGAGGAATCCGATGAGCTCTGAAGATCTTTTTCTCAGATCTCGAGTAGGGGCAGGTCAGCAAGTTACAACAACAGACAATACAAAAACACGATAGGAGTGCAAAATAGAGAAAGAGTAAACAAGTCACTCAATTTAAATAAAGTTACTTAAAGTGCATACATTCTTGCTGATTTTTCAACACTACATGCAAGCTTAAGCAAGGCAGCAAAAACAGTCCCAGACCACACCAAGACAACACACATTCCCTCAACAAAATTGCACATTACAATTTAACTCTTGATACATGATTTTTTTCTTCTTGGTTCTTTCGGTAAAGGTCACGTAGAAGGGAAGTAATAAAATAATAAAAATAAAACATAATAAAATAATTCTCATGACGTTTCGGCCACAACGCAAGCAGCCGTCCTCAGGTGAAGAACAGGTCTGTCGAGAAGACAGAGTCTGAATGACAACCCCAGGCTTGGGCAAGGATCGAAGTTACAAATCACATTTGAAAATGTGGTTATATCCAGCGCTAATATTCTGCTTCAGGATATTTTCTGAAGGCAGATTTACTATGTTAAGGGAGGAAACAAGGTTGTTCCAAAGATTGGTACTGCAACGTCAAAGGCGTATTCCAATTCTTATTCTCGAGATAGTTAAAAAGGCAATTAGATGAACGTTTTAGATTTATTGGGTTTGACAATGGGGTGAATGAATTAGCTAAGTATAGTACAGATTTGCCAATCAGGATTTTATGGATGAACAGGGTCCAATGGAGATGTATTCATGCATCAAGTGATGTGAGACTGGATTTTAAGTAGAGGTCTGAATGGTGGGTCCTGTATGGTACAATCAGTGCAAATTGAAGAGCAGAATGATAAAGCGGGTTTAGTGTGCCGTTAGTAGCTGATCTGTAAGCAGTCAGAGTAGTCAAAAAGTGGTGGGATGTTAGCTTTAATAATTTTCAGCTGAAAACAAATGGGGGAAACAATGTTGATTTCTGTATATAAAAATATTAATTTTTTATTAGATTTTTTTTGAGATGTGATCAATATAGGGTTGGAATGCAAGTTTTGAATCAATCGGTAAACCCAAGTATTTGAAGCACTCCGTTTGTTGAATGATGTTGTGTCTGATATCTGTAATATGTGAAGGGAATTCAACTGGATTTTTGTTTCAAGAAAAAAGCAAGATCTCAGTTTTATGGGGGATTTGGAGGTAATTTTAGTAATGACAATTGATAATGAATCAAGTCCAAATCATGTTAGAGATCCTGTTTGACTTCGTTTGGAGATTTACCCGATACTAGCATTATAGTGTCATCAGCAAAGAGATGTAATTCTGAGCGATTTAAGTTTAGTCCAAGATTGTTTAAATATAAGAACAAAATTGGACCCAGCACAGAACGTTGCGGAACACCCTTTGTTATGTTTATATTTGTCTGCGAAATGTGATCACTATGTACCTTTTGCAAATTAGACTTTTGTACTATTGGACTCTCACCTGGTTATTAATATTGGTCACATACTCATGTGTAAAAAAGCAGGCTCATTCGTACCCACGCTAAATAAACGATCGTGAACGTAGCTCGTGACATTTTTGTTATGAATCTGTAAACTAATTTATGGTGTTTATAAAAACGCAGTTGCAAATTTGTCTCGGCATTAAAAATATCTGCGCGGAAATTAGGAATGCTTTCTGCATGTACCATGACCGTATGCCCACAATAAATGGCACGTCACCTGCTGCTGCGCTTGGCACGTGCCCGGGCGTACAGCGCTTCGTGCGACCTTGGCTTCAGCTCCAGGGCCTTCGTAGCAAACTCCTCCGCCAGCCCATAATCCTGGCAGCATCACACGGGGTGCACAGCGTCGTCGGTGTTAACCACATGCCGCCACCCCAAACTCGCCAGCTGCACAGCGCTCAGGTGCGGAAACCACGCCTGAAAACAATTTGCACCTCTCTGGAGACACCTGCACTTAAGCCTGCTAAGCTGCAGCAATTCTGAGAGATTGTTCTTTCATTATGGGACAAATTACGTGAGCAGTCTTGCCGCGTGGCTCAGTGGTTGCTTGTCTGGCTCAGCAGGCAGGTCTCTGCCAGGTCAGCAGGGAAAAAAAAATTGCATTATAAGAATTTATATCACAGCAGATGGCAGCTTGTAGTCAGGCAAAATGAGGTTCGTTAGGAGACGTGACAGTAGAGGAGAAAGGACGGCGGGAATGGTGGTTCTGCGCAGGGTGGCTGAGAGGGTGAGCGCGTGTGGGGCAGGGTGTGACGAGATGGGGCCTCACATTGAGCTTGCGGCGACAGCGAGACAGGTTGAGGTAGAGGGTGACGCGCAGGTCCTGAAAGGTGCCCAGCTCCTCCCCAAAGCTCTCTCGGGGGAACCTCTTCAGCGCCAAATGGTAGCGCTGAGCTGCCTCCTTCATCCGCCCCGACTGCTCGCACGCACAAAAGAGAAAGGTCCACAAATTAGCCCCTTACATCCTAGGGGCAAGTTTTAGCATATCTTGCGGTGCTCGTCAACCTGAACTTGTGTCATTATATTTTACACGAGCTAAAATATCATGAGAGCACGTCGGACACCGGTACACAGGACAGCAATAAAACATTTGAAAACGACATCTTGACGACCGAGGCAGCTGGTGAAGGCTGCGAGAGCTCTGACTTTCACTTCCTCATACTTTGAAACGAATGAAACAAGACGAGAGCGTAATGTGGGGATGATATTTTGATTTCATAACAGCTCACATCCATGGCCTCGTTTGCAGGGACATCCCAAGAAAAACATCGACAATGCACCCTGGCACCAACATGGCATGACAGAGTGCTCGGCGTTGCAACCACAGCGTGGAGGAAAGGTGGGTTCACGATGCGGTTGTGTCTTGTGGGTTAGTATAAAGTTGAGGGATGACTAGCAACCAAACAAATATTATACTACGCTACCAGAGACACGAACTACGGTGCCGTACAGGGCTAGTTTCTAACTCGGGCGGCAGGACTCGACAAGGACTTCCTCCACACCGGTTAGATGCGAGCCATTGCAGCGAGCACTTGTCTATTAACCGTAGCCTCCCAGGGAGCCTGAGTGTAAAGTGAGAAATGCTCAAGGAGAGAACCCGGGAAAGCTCAGAGGCCTGGGATTGATACCAAGACTGCTAAAGCCCAGAAGTGAAGACCACCCTGTGAAGTGGACTCAGGAACCGTTTTAGTCTTCATTTATAACACATAACACAACCGGTTGCCCTCCTGTATCCGTGTGGTTATCCCATTCTGAGCAGTGTGCCTGCAGTACCCATTGCTATACTGTGCCACCATTCACAAACAACATGAACAATGCAAGTCATGTCTAGAATAACATTAAGTAACAAAGACAAGGATTAAAGTTATTCACAGTTTGTTAGTTTTGGCAGAGGTATGAGTAGCTGCACTAATGAAACAGAAGATAATGCAGCAGTCCTCCTGCTGTGTTTGTTTCACACCTGATGACGGTCGCTTGTGTCGTGATCTATTATTTTGTATACCTACGTGACTTTACCAAAAGAACCAACGAGTATGAGTATTGAAGATAATGCCTTTTCACCCACCAGCTGATTTCTCTTATTTGTAGGCACCGCTGTTCATATCCCGACGTTATTTTTGTTTCAATTAATTCATTGATTTTAAAGCTGTGTTTTTTTCTTATGTTTTCACAAAACTGCTTTACTTGCAACAGTGATTGCTTTATCTCCATCTGACAACATTCTGTCCACAACATCCGTCATCGCTGAAAAAAATCTTTGTGTTATAAACAGTCCCTTACAGGACCAGCCAGCAACACCATCCTCTCTTTTTATTGTGGAGCCGTCTATTAGTTCAGGATAGGTGTGGCACACAGCCGTCATTTAACAACGGCTCTATTATAACAGTTGTTGATGTAACAAACCCGGCGCGAGTTTGCCATGAAAAACCTGTAACGGATTTCGGAGTGTCGCAGCCTGGAGTGTGTGGCGCAGCGCCCGCTGCCATGCCAGTCGGCAAGTAGACCCCTGACTGTGCCCCACCTTGTAAAGTTCGTTCCCCTCCTCGATCACGCGGTTGAGCAGCAGCACCGTGATGTCCGGCTTCGACGTCGCCATGGCCCAGGAGGCGGGGCCTACGTGCCGGAAACGAGACGTTGAATGCCAGTGTCACTTCCCTCTTCTCAAAAGCATTGCCAAAGAGAATCAATAAATTGTCACATCTTGAGATTAATATATTTGGATATTTCGCAGAGCAGTGCAACCCGTTGTGTCAGAGAATGGCCCGCAGAAGTGGAGAATAGAGAGCTACGTTTGAGATCACTTCAAATGATTTATGGGCTCCATAGGAAATGGACAGCACTGTGGAAATTGAATGTTATAGGGCCTGGAGATCATCTAGGCTGAGTACAGCCTTTTTGTCAATCCACTGCTGGATGAGGGCCTCCCCAGGCCGCGTCGGCCATGGAGTTTGTTTAATTGGTCTTCAGCACGCTCGTCAGTGCAGGTCGGTTAAGTGAGGGCCGCCCAGGACCGTTTCACCTATCGATCACAACTGCCCAGAAATAGAACGCAGGTCTCAGGGTTCATAGTGCAGTGAACTATCACCATTTCACGACTCCCCCCACCGTAATGTTTGTGGACAAACCTTTGGTTGCCATGACGTTTACAGTCCACACTGCCCGATGTGTAACCGAGCCTGTATGGCATCACGAGGGCACTGGAAAGTACATTTGAGTGAAACAAGTGCCGGATTATCCTAGTAGCAAAAGTAGCTACATATGCTACAGGCCCCGCACTTTCAAGGGCCCCGCAGTTCAGTGATTCTGCACTTGCTCTATTACTATGGTACTATACTGCCTTCAACTTTTATGAATGACTGGGTGTTTAAGGTTAGCGATTTGTCGTATTATCTGGCTGTATAGCAAATGAAAAAATACAATAACTTTACTATGCAAGTAAAAAATGTGTGTTTTAATGTGTTTTTTTTATTTAGGGCCCCTTTATAACATATCCTACAGGCCCTACACTAGCTTAATCCGGCACTGAGTGAACCTTAGACCACAAGGCACATCAACGAGACCTATGGCTGGCCCAAACGTCAGTATGATGCGTTTACTATTTGCTATGAATGATAAGCCTGTGTGCACAGGCACCTACCTAGGTTTGCACCCTTCTTGAGCAGAGCAAGCACCACGGCCGTATTCCGGCAGCCGATTGCACGGTCCAGCGGTCGCATGCCACTCTCGTCCACATGCTCCATATTGGCTCCATGCTCCAGCAGGAACTGCACCTGGTGGAATACATTTTGCATTTACAATGCAGTCCAAAAAGATGGCCCAGAATCATCCTCGCAGTCAATCACCGAGAGAGTGGAACGGCCGTTCTCAGGAAACTTTTAACCCAGATCAACCAACCTCGGCGATGTAGTTTGGGCGATGTAGTTTGGACGATGATTTAAGTTCTGTTTCCTCAATTATGAAGGTAAGAATGCTTCCGAGTATATTCACGTTAAAACTGGTAAACAAAATGGCATCCTGCTGACCACTTCGGCGTCGCCGTGGAAGGCAGCCAGGCCCAGCGGTGTGCGGCCACTCCGGTCGGCGTGGTTCACCGGAGCGCCGTGCGCCAGCAGCGTCTGCACCACGGCCAGGCGGCCCTTCAGGCAGGCCCAGCTCAGGGCACTGAGCCCCTCGTGGTCTGCCACAGACACATTTGCACCTGCCACAAAATAAAACGTCAAACACAATCGGCATTTGTTGCACAGGGCACAGAGCTGTCATGGAAACGTGGGCAGTGACGTGGACGAATGCGAGCGCGGTTTCCGCTTGACGCAGAGCTTCACGGTTTGAGCCCAGCAGTCCACCCTGGTTAATAATACGGGTGTGTTCACCGTTAATACTACACGCTTCTATGAAAGTGGACAATAAAGATGCTGTGATGTAATTTTGCAAACAGAGTAAATCACGTGTGCTGGTATCATACATCATACAAAGCACTTTAAAGTTGCTTCATTGGGAAAACCAGAGCAGAATCACCCCCTACTTATTCATTAATTCACAAGGGGACAACTGCCAAAGGTTGAGATGAGGTGGCGAGTTGTCGAGGTATTTAAACAAGTGCCACGTCGGCAGAAATCCTTATTCGGTCACTCAACGACAAATACAAAGCAGTCTCCACTGCTTGGAAAAGCGGCCGCGTAACGTTTGTTCGGCATCAGAGCTAGGCGAATGCCCATGCGTGGTGTGTCGTGCGGTGTGTCGTGCAGTGTGTCGTGCGGTGTGTCGTGCGGTGTGTCGTGCGGTGTGTCGTGCGAACGGGGCGACGCGACGTTGTGCACCGGACCCCTGGATAGGAGCACGTCCACGGTGTTGGTGTGGCCCTCGCAAGCGGCCGCCATGAGCGCTGTCCGGCCTCGCCTCTCCGGCGCGTCTGGTTCTGCCCCGCGCCGCAGGAGGAGCAGCACCACCTGCGTGCACGGCACATGGGGCAGGCGGACAGGTTCTGTGTCGTGCGTTAGTCCTCCAGAATCAGGCGACCTATACACACAGTGGGACCAAAGTCTCAGTTTGGAACCAGGGTACAAGGAGTGAGGGCAAAGTCCTTTTTGGATAGTCTTGGAAGGAAACAAGGGGTACCGAGGACATTTAGTAACAAGTTTGCGATAACAGATTGAACGCTATCTTGGATAAAACAGCTATTACCTTAACATGTGCTGTTCATGAGAATGTTTTCCCCTTTTTTTGGCAACAAAACAGGTGTTAAGATGTTAAAACACCAAACTGAAACCTTTTACAAGGAATCATGTCTGCATTAACCACAATACTTGTGGTCAGAATACAAACAAAAACATGTGCTGTTCATATTCGAGTACATCAAGGGGTTAATCGTTTTCACATATGATTGGTTAAGTATTAAATTATTTCACCCCTCTCATAATTTGATGAACTGTAACGTTCAGCATAACGACACAAATCAAATATATTATTTTTCCTTTTAAATTGTGGTAAATTTAGTTTGCACGGGGTCAAGTTACCCTATTGCATGGTCACATGTACCGTAAAGACGAAACCAATTTCTCACATGCATGATTCTATGCCTTGCATCATAAACATAATAATTTAGTTTTATTGAAGAATCGATTCATCGTTACAAACTCCACGTGAGCTAGGTCCAACCCTGACCTATCCCTAATGAGCATTATTTATGTGAGCTTGAAGGCAAATTATGAACGTTGTTCACACAAAGCTGGACACCGTAAGCCTAGGATTGCCATCAGGAATCACGCGCTTGCCATGAAGTCACTAGTTTTCTCGGTGTCCTTTGAGCACATTCTGCCACCCACGCCAGGAGCGGGAGGTAGCGAGAGGGGAGACAGGCACTCATCACCTGCCAGTGGCCCTGCCGGGCGGCGCTGATGAGCGGCGTGACCCCTCGCCGACCGGCCTGGGAGAGCAACGCCCCTCGCTCCAGCAGCAGCTCGCACACCAAGAGCCGCCCGCGGCCCGCTGCCGCCGTCAGCGCTGTGGTCGTAACCCGGGGGAGGGGGGGGCGACATCACACGCCATTGCAATGCACTGCAGCCCTCCATCACTTCCCCACAGGCGTCACAAAGTTGTTTACGGATAACCTTAGTCAAACTTTAGCATGCACGGCAAGAATATGTAAGGCTTGTCAGAATGAGGGCAGACACGGGATCAAAATGATCTACACGACTTTAAAGATTTATTCGGAGCTTGCAGGCAGGGTTCAAAATACAGCAGGCAAGCAGCAAAAGGGTGAAATGGAAAATTGTAAGCGCTAATCATTTTTTGTAGGCATTTCTCAGCACAAGCATTTCGAGAGAGATAAAAATATGCATCTGGACAAAAGTGAAGTGGCGACTTCAATAAAACGCGACATTTACATTCCAATGTTACACGCGGTGGCTGTGCCATGGGGCGTCAAGTGAGGTCACGCAGACCCAAGCTATAAAGAAGAGAGGCAGCGCTGCCTGATGCTGCAGGCTGCCCCTCAGGGAACCCGCACACCAACCATCTTCCTGCCACCGCCCTGAGTTATGAAATCCCATTACAGTCCACCCATCCACTGAGTGCCTGCAATTTGTCCCCGTCAAGTCGGCCCCCACGTTCCGCCTCCTCACAAGCATTTGCACGTACCACCACCACCACCACAAAATATTGATTATTATAAGCCCTCCAAATTCAAGGTGACTTTGTCAGGCAGCGCAACCATTTCCATTTGTTCACAATACAGAAATGGCTCGCTCCACTGCCAACACCGAAACCAGCGGTAGGTGCAGATTGAGTCTTTTTCATAAATCATGGGGCACAAGCAGTAGATGCAACCGGCCTAATCACAGAAGCTATTCGTCTAACGAGTCCCCCAACCCTCACTGTGTAGCTTAAGCGTTAATTGGACAGTCCCCCTTCGATTGTCTGTGGGTTTGGCAACTTGCCAGGCTCAGATGTTGCACAAACTTCAGCAACCGGGGAAAATGACCTTCCATGTACGTGTGTGCACTCGGCGATTCGCAGGACTTTGGAACTGGATTTGGCTTAATTACCTGCAGTAAAACGCAAAACATAAATGCTTATGTACAGGGGATGGCAAAAGGGAAAAAAAATACCACACTTCTTAGTGCAAGGGTTTGAAAACATCGAGAATGAACTTAACAGCACAGTCAGTGCCATGGCACAGTGGTGGTTTGGGAGGAGCCATGACTGGGATCAATAAAAATCCCACCTGTTTCTCCCCACAGGGTGTCAAAGGCATCGATCTGTACACGGCTCCCTTCCCCACCCTCTTCCTCCTCCTCTTCGTGCTCACTTGACAGTGATGGAAGACTTAGTAGGTATTCCACGACCTGGTGGAGGGCACAAGGAACGTTTATTCACCTGCTGCTCTCTGAAAGGGAAAAGCACTCTGTTTATGCTCTGTAAGTGAATTATTTGAAAAGTATCCTGCCTCACGTTTGCTTGCTGTTCCACGTGTTTTTTTTTTTCTGCCTGTGGATATACAGTGGGCGCAGCATTTCCGACAACTGTGCACTTGTGTCATGGGAAAACCCATTGCAATGAAACATGCGTGCGGTTTCCACTCTTCTGCACTTGTCCCAACAGGCGAGGGAGAAAGAGGCGCAAGTGTGTGTGTGTGTACGTAAGTGTGGGGAGCAGTCGTGCAACGGTTAGTGCGCTGTGCTACGAACCTGGTTACATCGAGTTCTTTCTCCCTCACGGCCAACACGAGTGACGATTATCTGAATAGGTACTGGTAAGTCGATTCAGCCTCAAATGAGCGCCTGGTGCGATGTGCAAACAAAGGCGGCTGGGCGTGGTGCTGGGAACAACCCACTCCCTAGTGTGTCGTGCCGACCTACATAGGTGCTTGCTAACAGCACTTGCTCCAGCAATCTGTTAAGGCTATATGGGGGATCTTTTCCTTTGTGCATAAGTGCACACGTCCACAAGACGTCCACAAGAAGGCAGTTTACACGTTCCCTAGGCAACAGAAATCATGAATCCAGTGTTGGAGATGGGTGTGAATACGCATATACATATTCTGTAACAAAGCAAAAAGGGAATACACCGACAGTGGTGCTTAAACATGAATTAAACATGAATCTGATTTATTGTTAATACTGCCTAACAATTGAAACATGTACATTCGGCTGATGTTTCAGGCAATGCTCTGAAGGGCCTTTGTCCAAAATATCACCCTTACGAATAGGGTGCTGCTATACGGCAGTGTTAAACACTCATGTGCAGTCTTTTTAATGCGCACATAAAATGTAAACGTGCAGCCCTAAAATGTTTTGCTCACGCCACTGCTACCCGAAGGGCCTCCACTCCAGAAGGTATTTGGTCGAGCAGACGTGTATGAAGAGGTGAGCGTACCCACACTATACCCCACCTGCACATGACCTGCCGATCGACTGCAGTGTATGGGTCACACGGCTGGGTGGGCGGCGGTAGGGCGATTTTAGACAAATCGTCTCAATACCGCACGGGAAGAAGGAATCAAACCGGTGACCTCTGGTTCACTAATCATTGCACCATGGCACCTAAATATTCCACACATAAAGTAATTTTAGAGCCATCTGCTACGCTTGCCCAGCCATCAGGCGGAGCTAAAAACTGCCGCGTGCGTGTTGCTGGCATTCGAAAAGCAACGGGTGAGTTTATAATTGTATTTTGAGCTCAGAAAGCCATTCGTCAGCACCAGGGGATGCCAGATGGGTTCCATTTGTACATCCTGCAGAAGCGTGCGTTTGGAGAGGGGGTGGGTGGGGAGTGGGGGCGTGCGTGGGCAAGGACGATCGGTTAGCCCCAATAGCGGGAACACTTGCTCACCTCCACGTGGCCCATGCTGGCAGCGGCGGTGAGCGCCTGCTGGGCCGCCTGCCTCTTGCTGATCTGACCTGGCTGACCCTGCTGACCCGGCTGATCTGGCTCATCTGGCTGGCTCCAGTCCATGGTGGCCACAAATTCCACGGTGGCCAAGTGGCCTTGCAGTGCGGCGTGCACCAGGGCACAGCGGCCCTCCCGGTCAATGCGCGGCACCTGCGGCGCCAACACGTGTCAAAGGATGAGAGCTTTGCCAGGTAATATGTGTATAGATGTTGGTGCGAATTCATGTTCCCGTACAGACATAGGAATACTTTAAAACAGAAATTTGTGGATTTTTTTTGCAACACGATGCCTTAAAACATGACTGTATAATGCGTGTAGCTTTACAGCTCTTTAGTCAATCGACTGCTGGATGAAGGCTTCCTATTGCCGTGCGAGTCGTGGGGATTATTTGACCACAGTTCACACCGATCCTCGCAAGGTTGGTGAAGACAGCCTATAACACCCGTTGTACGCATGCGTTCGCCCATCCAGGCACTAACTCGGCTCAACTCCGTTCAGCTTCTGAGAGCTGACGAGATTGAGCTCATTCCCTGTGATTTGGTCCCTAAGCGGTCTCGTGACTTTAAGCGGCGACACTAATCGAAGAATTGATGCCACCCCCGACACGGAAATGCGCCGCGAGTGAGCAGAGGGGGGCAACCTGGGCATCCCCGTGGCAGAGCCTGGCGACAACGTCTGTGTGGCCCGCGGCGGCGGCATGGCTGAGCGCCGCCACGCCGCTGGCGCCCGTGCCGTCGGGGCACGCGCCAGCATCCAGCAGCAGGGAGACAGCGTCGCCGTGGCCCAGGTGAGCGTGCACGCACAGCAGCGGTGCGCCCGACAGCGCCTCCGTGCCGCTCTCCACGTCCGCGCCCGCCAAGATCAGCAGCCGCGACACCTGACGAGGAACCAGACGCACGCACGCGCACACGTGTGTGTGTGTGTGAATACCATCGTCATCGTCGGCCGCGGTCGATCCACTTCTGGAAGGGTTGGCGAAGCAGTTGCAACTTCACACGGTCCTGCGATGTAGCAATCCGGGTTGCAGCCTGATCATGACATCATTGCTCCATTTCCACTGTCGGCGCTCTCTCGGCTGCATTCCCTCCCTCACCTGGCACTGCCCAAGCAAATGTCTGTTCTTAATAATCAACGTGTGACTTCTACTGCGTCATAGTCACCATCGTGCCGTGAGTTAATGTAAGTGGTAAGCTCATGTTAGACATATAGCAACTAGCCTTTTGTCCGTCCAAGGACGGGTGTATTGCAGTAAATCTGAAACTTGTAAGCGAAAAGCAGACCGTGACGTGATATTCATTGCATTAATGCGTGTGCAATTTGTAAGGGCGCGGTGACACAGACTTATTTCATTTAAGGTTATAATCCCTTGTTCATAATGACGTCCTTTTTACTTTGATGTCTCAATAGCGTCACGGAGATCACGTGACGCGAGGGTTCTGCCTTTGTGGTGAGGGTTGTAATTTGACGCCGAGGAGGGGGAAGGAGGCGCCTCGGCCCCCCATGTGGAGTGACGTCAGCCACTAATTATTATGAAGGGGGGGGGGGGGTGTCCATTTGGAGGACGTCACCTTATCATGATTATTAATGAGGGGGGCTGTTCGATGTGGAGTGACGTCACTTGTGCATGATTATTAGTGAGGGTGGGGGGAGCACTCCATATTGAGTGATGTCACCCACTCATGATCATTAATGAGGAGGGGTGGGGGAGGTGTCCATCTGGAGGACGTCACCTGCTCATGAATATTAATTAGGGGGGCTGGTCAATGTGGAGTGACGTCACGAGCATTAAGGACAGACATTCCTGGATGATTAAAGTAGGTATTTGCCTCCATCACGGTTTGATGAAGTTCCATGATTTGGTGCCGCGATTCGATTCAAGAAGAGATTTTTGTAACTCTGTTTCAGGCGCAACATGAAAACGCCATAAACTCAATGTAATCAATACTCAGTTACACAACTAATTATCAGACACTCAGCTCACTGAATAAACACAACCCTAGCTGGTATTGCTCAGTGCCATGGCTAGGGCAATGAGATAAGGCCAAGAGACTGGATAAGTGACTTCACTCGAGCTTGGGGCTTCTGTTTATGGTAAAACTAGCGGGAAGTACCTGGCGTTGCCCGGGCGAAAAAGACACACACACATCGACTTACACACACACAGATATTGACCCACACACACAAACACATCGACTTCCACACACACGCACATATGGACTCAAACACACAGACATTTATTACACACACACACACATGGATTTACACACGCACACACGGAGTTACGCACGCACACACGGAGTTACACACACATCGACTCACACACACACACATCGACTCACACACACACATATGGACTTACACACACACATATGGACTTACACACACACATATCGACTAAGACACACACAAATCGACTAAGACACACACAAATCGACTTACACACAAGGATCCCCCATTTAGCCTTAACAGACCGTAGGGGCAAGTGCTGTTAGCGAGCACCTATGAAGGCCGGCACGGCACACGAGGGGGTGGGTGGCCAACACCACGCCGGGCCGCCTTTGTCTCCCTAGTGACGATGTTTACACATCACACCAGGTACTCATTTGAGGCTGAGTCGACCTAGGGAAGGCCTGGGATCAGTTCAGATAATCGTCACTGGTGTTGGCCGTGATCGGGAATCGAACCCGGGTCGCCAGGTTCATAGCGCAGCGCGCTGACCGCTACACTACCGCTCCCCACAACTTACACACACATATCAACTCACACACACATACATAGACTCACACACACATCGACCTACACACACACACATATGGACTTACACACGCAGACATATCGATTAACACACACATATTGACTCACACACACACACACATAGACATACACAGACACATTGACTTATCGACTCACACACACGCATTGACTTACACACTCACATAGATGCACACACACACAGAATCACACGCACATGGAACTATAACAATAACCGCCATTCGCCACTAAGTGGCGGTGACGTCACCACGATGCTTGTGCCAGGCCATGTGCACCTTGAGGCCACGTGAAGTGTCGAACGCTCACTGGCAGGAGGTCACGGGGCAGACCCAGGTGCCACGGGTCGACTGACTGAGATGACCGAGATGACTGGCTGATGCACCACCTGTGCCCCCTACTGTGCCAACTTGCTGTGCTTTATCCACCCTGCGCTCCGCTCATTGTTGTGAGCGTCGCTCCTCCGCCCTCATCGACCCAATCAAGCGTAATTGACATAACGTCACTGCTCAACCCCCGTACTGAGGGGGCAAGTGTAAATATGATAGAATGAAGACGTAATAGCAATGAGTATATTTATTGGTTTGCCCCTGCGCAGTAAGTGATATTACGTGGCTGCTCATGACTCAAGAGTAGAAAAAAGGCTATTCATTCCCTCGAACCTGATTTTTGTGAGCAGGACAGTGATACAGTATTTAGAAAAGTACCTATTTTCAAAGAGAAAACGTGTGCATAAGTGTCATGTAGTCATGTAAAGATGTGGTCGCTAAAGCAAAGATAGTGGGGAATAATAGGCATTTTGTATATAACAATTTAATAGTAGCAGTTAGTAGTCGGGGAGAAAAATCGTGTTACTTAGGATAACTGTCATAAAACATTGGTTAATCCCTGTCATTAAATCTAACCTATAAAAGGCAATTTATAATGAGTAAACAGACATGGTAATAAATGTTTGAAGGGAGCTGTAAATCTGTGTGTGTTACCTTGCAGTGTCCACGCAAAAGAGAATTCCCCCCTCACCCCCACCGAACGCGCGTGACTTGGCAGGGGCCCTCCGCCCCACCGAACACGTGTGAGTTGGTTGGGTCGAGAATGCGCTAGCTAATAAATAACCAAAAACAGCACTAAATCGCTTATTAAACTACTTTAAATGTGACGGATGCGAAATCGGAATAGCGCTGGCTCAACATGGGGCTTATGGCGTGGTACCTGGATCCTTTTTAAAAATCTTAACCCCACGATTTGCGAGCCAAATCCTTTGCAAGTTTCGGCCACCCACATACAGACAGACAAACAATGCCTTTTATAGGTAAAAGAGAAGAAGTTCAGCTCACCGATGGAGTCAACGGTAATTGTAATGATTGTGGGTGGGGGCGCACCTTGATGTTGGGTGTGTAGAGGTTGCGAAGGGAGGTAAGGGTTGCCGAAAGGCCATCGGTGCTGTGCGCCACCCACAAGGCTTGTAGCACACTGGACGAGATGCCTGGTCGCTTACTAAGACCCTGCATGCACGCGCGCACACACATCAACTTTACTTTGTAACCAGGCAACATCGACTGAGGCAAATGCCTCTTTTTGCAAGGGCAACTTGAGGGTGCAAAGAAAGTATGGTTTAGAATATCTTGGGGTAGGAAAATAAATAATGCAGCCATTAAAATCAACCAAGATCTGAAAAACATGTTTCTTAGCCAAATAAAATACAGTATAAATAACACACGTGTAACATTGATCATCCAAACAATCGGCTGCGAATTCTACACAGCTGCAAAAGGTTCAGCGCTGTGATATGACACCAGCCACCAGAGCTGCTCAGCCACGTACGACGGCAAGAACACAATGGCAACATCACTCATCAGTGTAGTTTGTTCGGGGAAACAAAATGTTTGGGCTTAAGAGAAAGGTTCAGGATATGAATTATAGATAGCACCGTGGAAAGGGATCGGTACTGGTGTGTGTGTGTTCGGGGAGGGTGGGTGGAAGACTCGCCTTGTAGATGTGTGCTTTGAGGATGTGGTGTCCCAGCTCCAAGGTTTGCTCTGGACTTAGCGTGCCGCCCTGACGTGAGAGAGCCATGGCGAGCAGTGCGTGCCCACTCCTGACCAAATATACACGAGCACATGCAAACACGAGCGCACACACACACAAACAAAAACAAAAGTGTTAGTCATTTCAATTAAATACATCCCGATATGGCGAAGGACTCTGTGTCACCCCATCATTCGTAGAAGTTATTGTGCATTGTAAAAAAAAGTCGCAATTCCAGGAAGCAGTAAAATGTACGCTTTATTTATTGCAATCGCTGCATGAAACACAGCATAATGTGCTAATAACCGAAGGCGCATGCTTACTGTCTTTTCTACATCCACTCAGAGAGTGATGGGTCCTATGTAGTGGCAGATCCAGACGCCCATGGTGGGGGGGGGGGGGGGGGAGGCGAGCCTCCGCTCACCCCAAGTGATCGACTGCTCTCGACAATTAACACTCAACCCCTGTGCATGTCGGTGCTGATGTAGTGGAACATGCCTGGTACAGACCATTAATCACGGAGGTGAAGGTAGCGACATGCCTCGCACAAATTGCTCACGTTATTCCAGGCAGGGTCTCTTTATTCAGAGAGCCAATTGTCTTTTGGTCAGATTTGTTGAAATGTTAGGGCATCCACACATTACCACACAAGCAGTAAACCAGTATATATATATCTCTTCAAATAGACTTTAGGCAATGTGCAGCTGTAAATCGTTTTTACTACTAGGTGAACAGAGACCATAGCCAACTTGCTGAAGGATTGATTGGATTTGAACACTAGGAAAGAAGCACGTGTGTTCCAATCTTCTTGTCGTAACTACGCTCAACTGTGCTTGGTCATGCGAATACGTTTACTCACCACGGACCATACAAACAGCAGCGTGGCGCTCACACGCTCGCTCACACGCACATGCACGCAGACGAGCATGCCGCCAGAGAGCCGCATACCTGGGCTCACAGAGGAACCTCTTGCTCTTGCCATCCTGCCTCCAGGCGAGCCACTCGCGCAGTGCCGGGTGTCGGAACATGCGGGTGCCGTCAGGGAGACGCGCCAGCAGCGGCGACACCTTCTCCAAGACGGCCGGGAAGTCGGCGGCGGGGCTGCCGGGGGGCGGTGGGCCCACGTGGCCGGCGCGCAGTGCCTGGAGTAGCTGCGCCTCACTAAGGGGCTGCAGGGATGCCAGTGCCACGTTGAGGAGAGGGAGAACGCGCATGAAGTCCGCCCGCTTTGGGAAGAGCGCGTTGCACTGCAGCTCAAAGAGCTCCGACAGGGAGCACGGCAGCTCCTGAAAACGGGCACAGGGACGAATGTTGAGGCGTGCTGGCAGAGCGTGTATCCTCACCAAGACGAAAAGCCATTTGCAAAGGTACTTTATCATTCTTTGTTTAGAGTCCTTTGACAATCCACTGCTGTATGTAGGCCTCCCCATCCCGTGTTGGTTGTTTGACCATACTTCACCATGCTAGTCAGTGCAGGCTGGAAGATATCACTGGCCAGGAAATGATCACAGGTGCCAGATACCGAGCTGCACTGCATCCTAAAACTGGGCTCTCTAAATAATTTGGTAGAAAATGGTGATAGTACAAAACCATCGCACTCCTAACATATCAACTGTCGTTTTATTTTATTTTATCAGGTAAGGCCCAATGAGCTATGTATCTCATTTTTTTAAGCGACCTGGCACACAAGTGATAGCTCCATGAAGTGTCTTATCACGTGGAAATTTGTAGCAGCCATATACTCTAAACGCGTATCCATAAGTGTGGAGGGAAAAACCAGGCCCGGAGAAAAATCCACAAGCAAACTCCAAATATACAGCAGGAGTCAGGGTTGGGATCTAACCTCCAACCTCTTGTCTACCAGGTGAGGTAGTTAACATCTCGCCACCGTGGCTATCGTTGTCGTGTTGCAAAAATTATCAGCAAAGAAGTAATGATTAAAACAATTGCAATAAACTGGCTGAGAACACTGCCAGTGAATTGTACACATAGGGGTCAGTGGTCACTCTGACCTTTGACCCAGGCCCCGTGAGCGACAGATTTCCCTGCTTGACCAGGTCGAGGGCCAGACGGAGGTAGAGGAAGCAGCCATGCGCCATCGCCGCAAGGCGTGGGGCCATGTCGGCCATCTGGGTCATCTCGGCGCCGTCCGGGCCTGGGGGCCTCCACGCCTGCCACACCCCGGCCTGCGTCTGGCAGCCTCCGCTCACGCGGCGCACCGCGTAGCTGCACAGGTCGTCCTCGGGCCCTGCCACCTCGGGGGCCCTAGCGGGTCCGCCCAGGCCTGGGTCCAGAAGGATCTCCGGGAACGGCAGCTGCGCCGTCACATCCTGTGGAGAAGTGGACGACGAAGGTAAACAAACACGAGACGAACGGAGCCGTGTGTGAGGTTTGGTAAAAACATTGAACAATTAAGTCGTGCTGATGGAGCAAGACGTTTGTATTCGCAAGCAGTTGTCTGCACTAAACATCCCTGTGGCAGCTAACGTGTACCTTTCAAAGTAATAAAAAAGGGGCAATAATCGTTTATAACTAGGTTTCACAAAAACATGTATTTTTTAAGTGGCACACGTATTCGTTAAATTCTACATTAGCTCATACATAATAAATATACGCACAAATTAACGTGTTATAAATATTTAATCCGGAAGTGAGGATAAAATGGAATATTCCAATTTCCCGAGAGGCCACATTCGCGTGTCTATAGCAAGCGGTGTATTTGGGTAGAGCGTTGGACATTGGTGGGGCGGTGGGTATTGGTGGGGCGGTGGGTATTGGAGGGGCGGTGGGTATTGGAGGGGCGGTGGGTATTGGAGGGGCGGTGGGTATTGGAGGGGCGGTGGGTATTGGAGGGGCGGTGGGTATTGGAGGGGCGGTGGGTATTGGAGGGGCGGTGGGTATTGGTGGGGCGGTGGGTATTGGAGGGGCGGTGGGTATTGGAGGGGCGGTGGGTATTGGAGGGGCGGTGGGTATTGGTGGGGCGGTGGGTATTGGAGGGGCGGTGGGTATTGGTGGGGCGGTGGGTATTGGAGGGGCGGTGGGTATTGGTGGGGCGGTGGGTATTGGTGGGGCGGTGGGTATTGGTGGGGCGGTGGGTATTGGTGGGGCGGTGGGTATTGGAGGGGCGGTGGGTATTGGTGGGGCGGTGGGTATTGGTGGGGCGGTGGGTATTGGAGGGGCGGTGGGTATTGGTGGGGCGGTGGGTATTGGTGGGGCGGTGGGTATTGGAGGGGCGGTGGGTATTGGTGGGGCGGTGGGTATTGGAGGGGCGGTGGGTATTGGTGGGGCGGTGGGCATTGGTGGGGCGCCGCGTGCCAGGGGGCGGACCTGGCTGGCCGTGCGGACGGTGAGCACCAGCTTGAGGCGTGGGGGGAACGCAGGCAGGTGCACGGCCAGGAAGGAGGCGATGGTGTCGCCGTGGTCGGGCTTGTGGAATTCGGCCTCGTGCAGCCCGTCCACCAGCAGCAGCATGTCTCTGTCTGCCAGCTTCCCCTCTGGTGCCAAGCACGGTGACCACGCACACATGGATGCACGAGATTATTTCGTTAAGGATTTTGGAAAGCAACGAGCGAGTTTAGAAATGTATATGTTGAGCTGGGAAAGCCATTTGATGGCGCCCGGGGTCACCAGATGGATTCCACATGTTACTCCCTGCATTGGTTGGGCGATGTGAGCCATGGATTGCACTGCACAGCAGTCAGAATTAGACTCGCATAGACCAGCACAGAGACCCATGGACTCCATTGGGCGGTGGTGGCGCATGCCTGTAATCCAGCACCGTGGAGGCAAGGGTTGGTGGATCGCACAAATGTTGCAAAACTCCCTTCCAGTGGGCATGGTGGTGCCATAACCTGGCTTGCCAGGAGAATGTGATACAGTGAAGTGCGGACTAATCTCATCTGTTGCTTCTTTATGGGATAAGAGCATTGCCCCCTCGCACGCGTGGGGTTTCTCTGGGTACTCTAAGTTTCTTCCCACATGTATAAACATGTGTAACAGTTCTCATTAATTGGATGAAAAGATCTTAGACTATCGAGGACTTCAGAGCTTGGGCGATTGTTTGTGGCAGATCACCACCTGGGCTGCCTTCTAGCTTGTCTGTGGTACCTCAGCAACTGTGAGATCCAATTAGCATTCACTGCGCCATATAAAAATGAACATTAAGGTCCAGAGACCCACAGTCACATAGTGACCCATACTATACAATACAATGTGATGTAATTCCCACTCGTTTTCACATATCCCATGTGTTGCTATAAGATGGTTAAGTGCAGTCCAGTGTCTGGGAAATAAGGAGCCATGTGGTTCCTTTGTTGTATCTTACATAAGCGTCTTGTACTGAAATGCACGCGAGCTCCAATACAGACACAATCAGTCTACTCGCCAGTCCAGTGGCAACCCTGGCAGGCTCATATGTGAGTGTGTGTAGGTGTGAGTGTGTGTAGTCAAAGCCATGTGGGGTGCAGTGGTGTAACGGTTGGCGCGCTGCGCTACGAAACCGGCGATCCGAGGTCGATTACCGCTCACGGCCAAACCAGTGACAATTATCTGAACCGGTGCTGGGCCTACTTCCCTAGATCGACTCAGCCTCAAATGAGTATCTGGTGCGATGTGTCAACATCACTACTGAGGAGACAAAGGTGGACAGCGTGGGGGCTGGCCACCCACCCCCTCGTGTGCCATTCAATCCTTGATAGGTGCTCACTAACAGCACTTGTCCCAACAGTCTATTGAAAGCTATATGGGGGGTCTTTGTTTTTGTGAACGTGGGTGCGAGTGCATGTCCGTCTCTCTTCGTAAAGAATTGAACCTTTTGAAACACTGTCAATGTCTCCAACCAAGAGCTGAGTGCTGCGAAGGCCAGTCAATACAATTGGACGCCTAACAGCTATGGCGATTAGATGTTTTTTACTCACTGTTAAAATCATTTTGGCATTGGTAAAGCAATTACAGAAATCAAGGTGAGCCATGTAGGTGGCAATGGCTGCAAATCAATTCCCAAAGAGTAATTCACATCAGCATCAGCGAGCCTATTATAGCTGCCATTGCCCTTATTAATGGCCAAATAACAACCTTCAGCATTTGACATTTAAAGGTCAAAAAGTACAATACAAACATTATGGGAGTTTTATGTACTATAAAGAATCACGATTTTTACATACATAGGCCATTTGTGTCAGGAATGCCCTCTGGCTTATAGAGTCATTTTTGCTGGCACTGTGTATGTGCTTGTGTTATGAGAGGGATTTAAAGTGAATTCACTTCACACACAGGGGACAATGAAACATACGTGTTTGGGGCTTGGCCCGCCTCCTCCCTCCTCTCTCTGTTGCTCGACACTCTATACCCAGAATTGATATTCCTTTGCCTTTAAATTCCACATTACAATATATGAGCAAAATGCTCATGATAAAAAAATACACGCGAACGTTTTGTTCATGCCTGCGTTGGCTCTGCCATTTCCTCCTCACAATTGTGCACACATCTCTCGCTTTTAACCAAGACCTTCAATGAGCATCTATGGTGAAATTAAACGATCCCTGGCCACATCGGAGCCGATAACCGTGCAACATGTGTGCACGACCATTTCCTTTCCCCCCCACACTCCCTCTGCGTCATGCCATAGACTGCTCCATACCAACCCCCAATCTCTCTTCTCAGACTGCACTAAAGCCGGCCGCAAATAACAATTTGAATTGGCTTCTGTTCCAATCCTGCCCCCCAGGTTAACTCGGCGTGAAATTGTTTAGTCAATGTCTGTGGGCGCTGTAGAGCGCAGGCAGGACAGGCTGGGCACGAAGCGGGAGGACTCACCTCGCCGGACGGCGACACAAAGGCTTCCTCACGCCAGTGGCACCGGGCCCAGAATAGCTACAAACCCCTCGAGGTTAACCCCCTTCCTGTGCGTTGAGCGCAAATGACCCTTCCGTTGAGAGATGAGCGATGAGATTGTTCATTATTGCCACTGTATATATAACGATATTCGGTATATGGCGATTCACCAAACAAGTTGTCAACAGGTATGGATATCATGATCCTGTGAAATGTACAATGATCGCCGTGTACATAAAGATGCAAAGAATACAAATAATAACAAATGCAATCGCTTCTGCCGTAATGGGCGTAACATGTTCAAGGAATTGCCCTTTATTGGATGCATCTTTACGATGTCTCCATCAAGAGGAGAAAAAGCATCACCTGGGACTGGGTGGAGATGATGAGTACTATTCCCAACACAGCCTTGGTGTGGGGCGATTTAGTCAACACACTGCACCCGAGATACAGAGGTCCCCGGTTCCTTCTCCAGGTGCATCACTTGAAGCAATGGGGCAATTTTTATGAAAAATCTCCACACCCCTGTCCACTCAACAGCATAAGTGGGTACACCGCAGCGAGTCAATCGGCAGGCCGCATGTGGTGGGGTAAAGTGTGGACACTGCCACCTCTTCCGCACACGTCTGACCAGCGTGGAACTGATGACCAAACACTCTCTGGAGCTGGCTCTCTAGAGGCTCCTCTCGAGGCCCTTCCACCAACAGTGACACCAGCAAGCAATTGCAGGGTTGCGCCTTTACCCCCTTTATCTTGACTTTTGACCCCCCACCCCTTCACCACTGCTCGTGCACTCAGGCAGCTGAGCGGCACTCACCCTTGCGTAGGGTGGACAGCGGTTGGAGGACTCCGAGGCGCAGCGCCGCCCCGGGCTCCTGCACGCAGGAGCGCATGGAGAGCGCCGTCTGCAGCTCGGGCGAGCGCGCCACCAGCTCGCGGTATGCTGCCAGCTGCGGCGCCCGGCACAGCAGCGCCGCCACGCTGTGCACGAACTCGGGCACCAGGCACGTGCTCGCGCGGTCCGACTGGCAGTAGTGATAGGCCACCACCTGAAACAACACGGTGCACCGCGACGGGTCAGCGGCCGGCCCCATTTCACACCTCGGCGTGAGAGTAATTGAGAGTCACTTCAAACTAAGCTTTCACTTCTAGTTTATTCTTCCCTCAAAACTGACTTTCCTTTTTTAATACGAGAACAGTTTTGTGGCATCGTTACAGTGCTGGCACTTAAAACAATAAGTCTTTCCCAAGCATAACGTGGCCCCCTCTAGAATGGAAACTTAGTACACAATACAGGCACCCACACAAAGTGCAAAATCAATAAACCCACGCACGCACACACGCACACACTCGAGCGCACGCACCTTGGCTGCTAGCCTCCTGGCGGGATCGTCGCTCCTCAGATGCTGTGCGGGGTTGTAGCTGCTGTTGCCTCCCCGGCAGGCGGGCCCAATCCGTTCCCTCCCCTCATCAACATCTACAAATATATTACACGGAAGAGGGTCCATTATATTGTCATGTACATTTTAATACAAAAGTGAACGGCACGTTCTGTGAAGTCTAAAGCGAATTACATGTCAAACGTTTGGTTGGTAATTCGAATCACAATGAAGTAACCGTGAATTTAAAAAAACCCACTGTAATAATGAAAATATGCTCAAATAGCTACGCAATTATACACGTGAAAGAACACACACTTGGACTGTGTTGCCCTGCTAAAAAGTAAGGGCCTGTTCACAGACACGCTGGACAAGTCGGGCGCACGCTCGTGTCTGCCACTTACTCCGAGATGCAGCCGTCTCCCCGTGGCAGCTAAGTCGCACCAAACGAGCCACAATCGCCGTTTTCCCAGATCCAACGCCCCCGACGATGAAAACTCCTCCACTGCCACCGATGCTGCTTCCGCCGCTGCCGCCGCCCGATGCCCGACCTCCCAGCCGGAGCTCCAGCTCACGGAAGAGCCACTCTCGCCCAACGAAAGAAACCTCGCCCGCCACGCTCGGCAGCTCGAAGGTCAGCGGCTTGAGGGCAGCGTCGACCGGCTTGCAGGAGGGAAGTCGCGCCGCTGCGGGGACACGAAACACGACGAAGCGTGCACACCGTTTGGGTGGCAGCCATCACGCTCAGAGCGCTCCACGCGTGACGGACGTCTTCCCGAGAAGCGCGATGGAAACTGCAGATCTGTTTCCGTGTGTCGGGATCGTGGCAAGGATGGTTACAGAACCTGGGCTTGAAATGCCCAGCGAGGATATTAGAAATTATCCCGTGGCCCCTGGCAGGCATCATCATGAATACAAATTGCAAGTTCTCCTCGTCACACAAGTTAAACAAATACCGGTTGGTGCCTGGTGCCACAGCAAACATGCATTTATGCTTCAGGGCCTATTTCCAAAATGAAACGGAGCAACGTCAAACAAACACACAATAAACAAACCTGTTTGAAACCTGTTTAAAATTTTAAAAGCCACTTAAATATCACGTCAAGTTTTTCCAAGCAGCCAGGTCCAATTTTAAATTTTAATGGCCCCATTGACTGTTGAATAACAATCTGAAACCCATGGAAACCACGCCGTAAAAAGTAATAAGTTAAACATGCAGCTGTCCGATCCCAAACATCCACTAGGAAATCACTGAAATAAAACATGCAATTTTTTTTTCTTTCACAAACCATTCATGTTGCGGGTAGAATTTTTGTAGGAAATATGGAAACACTTGACAATGTCCATGACCATGCAGGCTGCATGTTTGGCAGAGGCTGGTGCATTGCAAGGCAGAGCCCTCGCTGTGGGAAATGACGGACCGCACTGGAAAGGACAATCACACAGGCGTGCTCAGCAGGCAGGAAGTCCGCAGCTATTAATAGCGGAGTGCTCCGATAACCTAGCTAACGGGGACTGCTGTGTAAACAGGAGGGGCACGGTTCCCACCCTTCGCTCGGCCACAAAGGTGCGCGTCTTTTCTTCCCATATGAGAGCTACCTCCACCAATGCATGCGGCCAGTGATCACATTTGGATGCCCGCTTCCCGGCCGACTGTTCGAAAATGGACATGGCGTCCTGGTAGTGCCATTTGCATGAGCAAGACGAAAGCGTGGGGGGGCGAGCCATCGTCACCGAGCAGCACCGCGACCCGCTGTGGACGACCGAATGTGGACGTGGCATGACAGGAAAACAGACAGGTGGCAACGTCGTGCATGTATTAGCAAGAGCGTCTAACTCCACGCGCGGCGGCACGTAAGACTGACGTGCCCTAAACTGCATTCATATTAAATCACCTCAATATGCTTCCATCAATAAGGGATTGGGAAGGAAACACAGGTGCGGCACGAGCCCAGCCGACGTAATGGATTCCCGGGGACAGCGGGGGGGGGGGGGGGGGTGCTGGCAGGTCTCACAGCGACTTGATGGGCCCAACCATTCCAGGCCCGACCCTGCGTAGGAGCCCATCACACGAGCAATTTGATGAATGGGATTATGACCGTGATTGCCACCACCATTCATGTCAGCAGGGAAGCTCTGCTTTCACGTGGGGTCACAACCTCACATCTGTCCAGCCCTCGCCTGCCACTGTTAGCCACACTTAGCACCCGAGTGCCGCACCATGAAAGTGCCAGAGCGCTGAGTTTTAATCAAACTCGCGGAGTGACTAGTCTCCTGTCCCCTGGAGAGAGAGAGTAGTCCAGGGATCCCTACCTGCCTGTGATATTCAGAAATGACGGCCCATGTGTACAAATTACTCCAAACTTAAAAGCACAGCAATAACATGCACAATTCAAGAAACGTTCATAAAGCAGCGGCTACATAAAAAAAATACTACCCAGAGTGTAAGTAAGCTGTATAATAAAGATCAAACTATAAGACTTCTTCAAATGGCTTGGCTCTGTAAACCCATAATGAATTATTCAAGTGGGAAAAAAAATATTGGTAATGACACCTCACCGGACTAAATGTTAGCTGTCATTAATTCATTTGTTAATCCCTTATGCCCACCTCACGCTCGAGGCAAGACGCCCCTCTCCTTGCACCCTTTTCCACTCGACTATCACCGATCTCGCTCCAGGGCGACCAGGTGCACTGCGCGCTCTGCACAATACCGCTCACACCCCCCTACGCGTGCGATGGCGCACGCGGAAAGGGCCCCTTGCTCCGCGACCCCCCGCGCGGTGGTCATCCCGGGCGAACGGCGGCAATGACGGCGTGCTCGCTCTTCCGGTGTCTGCGCGCTCACTCCAAAGCGAGGCACCAAACGCTCGGCGGCCACCGCCGCGTTCCTCCCGCTCCACGCATCCGCAGCTGTGTGTCGGGTCAATTCTCTAAACTACAAGCGAGGCGAAGTGCGGCCCTGCATGCGCCCACGGCGAGGCGCGAGCGGAGGAGGGCTGCCTTCGGGCAGATTCATCCTTCGAAATTGGGAAACTGCGAAAAATAAAGAACTTGACACTAAAACTAAAATAATTTTCAATGCCCCAAAGGCCAATGACATCCTTGCCAGGGAGGAACTGACCGCTCCGTCTCATCCACACTGTGTTCAACCACCACACTGCAAGCCATTACACACTTCTCCTTCCGTTTCTTCCCTCTCTCTGCTCTACTTTGGAATCGCTTTTTCTCAAGCACAATCATAACCTTGCACAAGTCAAGAAACGTGTTCACTATTTCTATTAAATGTTGCTGTTGGTTGCTGGCCGCTTGATTACGTAACAAAACCAACAAAGCAGCAAAACATGGCCATGGCTGAAATATATATGAACAGGTCAGGTGACCGACGTACCCAGTCCCAGTACAAGCACAGTGGCGTGTGAGACCAAAGCCCCTCTCTTACCCATGTTGTGTAGAGGCTGGGAGTGTGGGGCCACCAGGGGCTGGCGTGGAGTCCTCATGGAGGCGTGCAGCGGCTCCCCGCGCGGCTCGTCCAGTGGGCCCAAATCCTCGAGACGAGCGAGGCTGCTCGCTGCAGCGCACACGCGACAGAGCAACGCTACATGCATGAGCAAACACACACACATACGTACTCGCGAACACATGCACGTTCGCACGTTCGCACGTACACACGTGACGCAGAGAACACCTATGGGCACAAATACAAAGATCCCCCAGTGTAGCCTTAACAGACTGTTTGAGCGAGTGCTATAAGCAAGTAGCACCATTGAAGGCAGGCGCAGTACACATACAAAGACAAAGATCCCCCGTGTAGCCTTAACAGACTGTAGGGGCAAGTGATGTTAGCGAGCACCTATGAAGGCCAGAATGGTACACGAGGGGGTGGGTGGCCAGCACCATGCCCGACCGCCTTTGTCTCCCCAGTGGTGATGTTTACACACCGCACCAGGTACTCATTTGAGGCTGAGTCGACCTAGGGGAGGCCCAGGACCGGTTCAAATAATCGTCACTGGTGTTGGCCGTGAGCGGGAATCGAATCCGGGTTGCCAGATTCATAGCGCAGCGCGCTGTCCGCTATACTATCGCTCCCCACCAGTACACATACACACATGTGCACACACGCATGCACACACAAGCTCAGAAGCTTTTGTCCAGTTCATCTGCGCCACCGAAAGCTCCTGAATCTGCAGATGACTGCTGATGAACCCATGCGTGCATTCACACATGTATAAGTGAACATGCATGCTACAGTCAGTATTAGCACACATAAGCAAATTTATGGATTGGTTCACTGTAGATTCACAAGCAGATACATGTTTTTAACGCACGCAAGCCCACAAGCATACAAACCGCAACCATAGCCGCCACAGAGCCATGGAAGCAGAACCCTTACCTTACTCAAATGTGTAACTTTTGCTGTTAGCTCTAAGCTTTCATTAAAATAAATAATATGACAAACTTGCTGGTACACTCCTAGTATCATGTTTCACAGCCTAATCACACACATTTTCAGCAGCCCTCCCTCAAAGGCATCGTTGATATATTTTACGATGAAGCCAGAAGTGTTTTGTAAAAGCAGCGCTGTCTTTTCCCACAGATGTCACATTGTGCAAGACAGTGATGTGTGCTGTACACAAATTACACAAACAATGCACACACGTAAAATAACGCAGACGGAAAAGGTATTTTACGTTCTTTGTGAGTCTTTGTTGACGTTTCGATGACCGCAGTTTTTCCCCTTCTACTGTATATAGATTTAATCCACACGCGGCAAGGCAATAAGCCCAATTGAAATTTAATCCTGCAAGCAGCTGCTGTGCGTCGCTTCCACCTGGCTCTGCAATAGAGGCCCCTGAGACAAGACTGTGTCTGCGCTCCACACCGAGACGACGGAGACACGAAGCAATCGTTTTACCAACACAGCTGAGCCCTCCATGGGCAGGCACGTGGTTCCCAGCACCGCCACATGGCCAGTAATCGCAAACAACACAATTTTAAACCAGGACGCGACCGGTGGAAATGCCACTACGCCGGACGGCGATGTGGTGCGCTAGGTCTAGCTTACCCAAGTTACTTCACGTGCCCGGGATGAGTGAACGCGTACTGTCCCGGCGATGACATCACCACCCGATTCGCTTTAACTCTGCCTAAAACAGCCATGTGCAGGACAATTAAGGCACGAATGCCCTACAGGCTGTGGTGCGCCGAGCCAGCCCTGGCCCGCGTGACTCACAGGACGCCATGGACAGCCGGCAACAACAAAGCGGCGCGAAACTCAAGCGCGGCACGCTCTGACAGCAGCGCTGCGTCCTCTGCCTCATCCTGTCACGGCCGGGTCTGACCAGACGCCGCGTGCCACGGATCAGCGTGTCACGCCGTCCGAGGCAGGAAGTGGCGGGGGGCTGAGGGTGGGCGCTGCGGTGTGGGCTTGCTCTGCGAGTTAAACGATGTGTTTTTTTTATTCTTTTTACTAGGTGGGGTGCAAAAGCCATTACTTAACCACGTAATTCCATGTTAATGTCCGAGTCCTGATTAAATTAGTAGCGAAATGTTCCCACTCCTGATGTCCCGAAAAGTACATGAGAAGCGGAGCACTCGTGAGACGGCGCCGTCAGCGCAAGCTAACTGGGTCTCACCACTGGCAACGCAAAGCATGGCGCTGCCTGCTCTGTGTGGCGCTCTCCCGCCACTCTTGATTGCATCCTAGACAGAGCTGTGCACACCAGCTGATTAAGAACCCCATGCTGCTGGCACCATCGTGCTCGCCATCGCACAACTCTGTTAAATATGTTACTGCAGACCATGGTGATAGCTCACTGTGATGCTTTCAGCAAAGCCGGGACGGGTCTCACGTTCACAAGCATGCGTGTGCACACGCCGTATATACAAACACACAACCTTACGAGTATACAGTGTGCAAAAACATAAAACTGACGTACACAGACCGATACGTAAATCACACTGTGTGCACACAATGAGAGTATAGTGCATGCCTAAAGCCTTCGGGAAGGTTAACGTCAGGTCAAGAGTGGGTGGAGCCCGGGCATGGCCTCGGTGGCACAGGAGAGGAGCGAACGAACAAGACATCATTAAGCGGTGGCGGGGTAGACCCATGGCACCGATGCGTGTCAGGGATCTTGTACCTTCTGTCCCGTTACTACAGACAGCCTGCTGCGAAGACACTGCCTCTGCTAGGTGTCAACAGCGTGAACTCGTGAGATTGCAGAGATTTGTATTCAGCCTTGCTGTCTGCCTAATGTACAAAAATATCACGAGAAGGCAAGCAGTGGTCTATATTACTGAACGATCCGTCCTTACGTGCATACACACACACACACAGAGGTATGTACACAGGCATGCAGGTATCCCCATGCAACAGACATAATATTAGTAATGAAACTTTCCTCGGTGAGCCGTTTGTTGAACGTTCCATGTGCGTTTTCTGGTCGAACCACATTTTTTACGTTGTTTTAATCGCAGGCAACTCTTATAAACCTGCGCAGAATTTTGACTGGGAACATATCCATTCAAGTGGTGGAAATTGTCTGGGCTAAAAGTAGGAATTACATCCGTGCAAGACATCGAGCAACCGTGGAGATAGCAGATCCCCAACAAAAAGACAGAAATTCATCCAATATTTTTATTAAGCAAGTCTAACATCTGTAGGTATACTTACCACGATGTTGTCTACGCATGCAAACCACAGACAGCACCGTCATCCTAAAAGTATTATCCTCAGACTTCCAACATGTTAGCCACATGGAGCCAACAGTGCAATAAAACTAGGTCCCACAGTGCACACATACACAACAGCTGGGTGCTAAAAGGGGTTTCGCGATATAAATTAAAAAATTCCATTCATATTAAAAAAACTAAACAATAAAACTAAAATTCTATAGACAATCTATCGTTGACAAGTTTACAGAAAGACTCAAGTGTTTTGAAAGTATATATGAAAATAAAGCTCAGAAAAGAACCGATAAAAATGTAAAAACCCCAATAAGGAATAAAGCAGGGCTTTTGAATTGCAAAATAAGAAGCTTAAAACTCAGAAAAAATGCGACTCTGTGAACCAATGGAATCATTCCGCTCCCAGCTTGCAGGCATTATCTACGGCCTCATTATTTTGATGCAATGCATCATGTAGGCATGGCAAATGGAGCATGTTTCAAACAACCTCCATTAATGGGCAAACACGGCTCCACGGCAAAGGAGCGGAACGACAATAATGACCACATGTTCAAGTGTCGCAAACACACAGGCGCGCGCGCGCGCGAGCCGTACCTGCACGCGCGCGTGCACGCAAGCGGACGTTACAGACCTGCGATGGAGTTGGGTCGCGGGGCGAGCAGGGACGGCGAGCGGCGGGCGGTGGGGGGCGGGGGCACATCCAGGCCCTGATCGGCGCTCTGGCTCAGCCTCCGTGTGGCCGCCCTGTAGGGGGGAGGCTCCCCCTCGGTCCCCACCCCATAGGGCCCCGTTAGGCCCAGCAGGGAGCACACTTCGGTGCCATCCATGTCACCGTCGTCTTCTTCGTCGTCGCTGAAGTCGTGGGAAAAGCTGCGTTTCTGGGATCGGTCCTTTGGAAGCACGTTGCTCTGCGGCGAATCTTTCATTACGCTCAGGCTGTCGGGTGAGCGCGAAGGAGGCGAGGCACGCAAGCGCGAGTAACTATTCGACCGGCAACCTTGGGTGGCCTCTTGCTGGGCTGCAATGTCCCCCTTTTCGGCATAAGCAGCAGCACCTGATAATTCGGGCTGGCCAAACTCGGCCATGTCATCCGGGGGGCTTCCTTCCTCCATCTGTTCGAGGCTGCCGCCCGACCTCGTGATTGTGGCTGCATCCAGAAACACAGTAGGTGGTGTTCACCAAGGCCCAAGTACGGCTGACGTTGGTACACACGGTTATGGACTCTGGTTAAAGATTTACAGCAAGAAATCGCATTACATTTGGAATTTCCCTCGTTGACAATGACGCATATTTGAAGGGCGCGTGAGCATGTGTGTTTCTTTACGCACTGTCGATTCGAGGATGCATTTCTCACATATTTTTCTCTTGTACTTTTCAATAGGCCTATTGTTTTGTATCAGTATAACAATAAGTTCCAAACAATATGACAGCGTTTCATAACACCGTTACACAATTTAAAAACTCTAATATGTTTGTGTCGACTTTTACAAGACATATTTTAATTACAGCGCCTTTGGTAGGCACATTTCAAGCAGAGGAACAATTATTTTTTTCGTGACACTGCAGAATATTAATGCACTGGTTGCACAGTTATCATACACTGCGGAAGTAGGCCCTTATTAGGGCAGGTGTCATTATTTTTTTCAAGTCGTCTAAAAGCTATAAAATATTAAACTGTCGATTCCATACAGTACGAGAGAGCTGAATTTGTAAATGTTAGTCTGCCCTTTACCGACAGTTATTTTCCCCCAAGTGTAGGCGCGCACACACACACACAACGGAGTGTGGACCCAGGGGCATGAGTCAGCTTCACCCCAGCGCATGCCTGAGAATATAGACACGTGAAAATCACATGTGTGTCATGTATCCTCGACCTGACTTTACATGCCACCTAAGCTCCTGGTACCATCCCCGAGTGATTGTAAAATATCTCCTGTGGGATGTGGCGTGCGCGACTGCACGTGCGCGAATTTGTTTCCTCTTGGGAGCTTTTTCTGTAGAACACGCATTTGATGCATCTGGGTGAACTAAAAAATGGCTTTCGTTGAAATCCTCCACTCATGGGGTGGTGATCAAAACCACTGGATTTTTCGGTACTCTGTGTCGTCTGCAGTTCTTTAAGATGGCAATGTGTACGTAATTTGTCTGCGCATTTGGCGGAGCTCCGGATAATCACGAACGCAACCATCACGACGCCATTAAGGTGAAGCACAAAAACGACGGCGCCATACCACTTGTCAGCCGCACTAATTGTGGGCCCACGTGAGAGTGACGCACGTAATTGTTATCAGGAAGCAAAAAAACGTGGGTGTGCGAGTGGCTTTCGCGAGCTGGCCCTTGCCAATGATGCCGCTGTCCTGGCTCTCCAGCGTGGAGCTGGGCGTGGGTAGCAGGTGGGCTGGGCTCAGCTCCCCAGGTGGAAGAGCTCCCTCTCGAGCAGGCGAGTGGCACGGGCTGGCTGCGTGTGGAGAGGCCGATCCACTCGTCACAGCGGAGGGAGGGCTCTTCCCCTGCGCCGTCACCACCACCATCACAATAGCATCACCATTGCCACCACCACCAGCATTTTGACCAGGCAGAAGCAAACAACACTGCGTAGGTTTTATTTTTTTTGTGCAGTTGTGCTGGTTGCGTTGTAAAGCTCTGCAACGTATTCTTGGTTATTTCTGTAAAGTCACGTAGAAGGGAAATAATAAAATAATATCAATATAAAATCCACAAGATTTCACACCTGATGATGATTGCTTGTGTTGCAGTCGAAACGTCGTGAGAATTTTTATTGTTTTACATTTATATTATTTTATTATTTCCCTTCTACGTGACTTTACAGAAAGAACCAAGAATATGAATCCCTGCAGTCACGAAAAGCTTTAAATCAAAAATTTTTGCAATGTATTTTCGGGTTGTGCTGCTTGTAGTTCAGCACTGCTTCCCACGTTTTTCTCAAGAACTGAATATTCATCCATTCCGAGCACATTGACATGGAGCGAAATGCTGTACATGCCAAACAACATGCAGTAACCACAGAATTTTCAGGATTCGCTCTGTATATCCTGAAACATAAAACCTCAGCAGCAGTAGTAGCACTAGAGGCAGTTGCACACAACACAGATTATTCCTGTGGCCAACTCTCATTGCCAGTGTGTCCTGGCATCTCACATTCCACAGCACAGGTACTAATCTGCCTGCGATATCCACTCCAGCAGCTGCGAGCACAGCTCTATCGAGCATCGTGGTCCGACTTTCAAGAATACAGGAAATTTATGGCTGCGGTTTTCCGAAAGCAGTATACCGCTTAATCCACACAAATTAATGAATCCCTGCAGTTGCAGCCTCACATCACTCTTACAAAAAATTCCCTTTCATGAAACGCACACCGTTTTATAAATTGCATTTAATGTTACAGAATATTAACTCAAACCCGAGAGCTCATTAAAAAGCTTTGCAAAATTACCACAAATCCTTCAACTTAACCTGCACCCTCGGAGAGACTCTGGCGGCAGCGGCAATCGTCGGCACGTGAAGTGCGCGCCCACTGAACCAGCCTTCCTGGAATTACGAACATTCCCGGCTTTTACGGTAACACAACCACAGGGAAACATTTAATGATGCCGTGCCATCAACAAAATACATATTGTTTGTGCATTCAGGTGTGCGCATAACGTTGGTCGCGTATCATCTGCGCCGGAGCGTTGCACGTATACGCGTGGCGCACGCGGCGATTGGAACCCAGTTGTACTTCTATCATTGTCAGAAATTAACAACATTATCCGCATTCCTACTGATTCTTCCCGAAATAGTGCTAGTTACCACCGCCACGATTGCAATTGTAATAATTGCCGCTCGTTGTAATTGAGCGCAATTACGGGCCCTACCATGTGCCCCCTCTGTCCGTGGGAGCGCGGAGTGGCGGGGGTGGAGGGCGCGCTCCTCTCCCCCAGGAGCAGTCCCAGCTGGGCTTTCAGGGCGTGGGTAGTCTCATCACCGCGGGAATCAGAACCCAAGGCCTTCGCTGCACACAAACACAATGGTCCCCTGTGTAGCCACACACAGTGCTACGCATGCAACCACACAACAAGTGCTGTTAGCGAGCACTTATTATATGAGGCTGGCGCGGAGCACTAGGAGGTAAGTGCGGCCAGTACCACGCCTGGCCACCTTAAGTCTTCCCAGCGCCGATGTTTTACAAAACGGCACCAGGTACTTTTTTAAAGCCCCAATAGACCTAGCAGAGTTCAAAGAAAAAGCTCCCGATACCACTCACCACTGGCGTTAGCCGTGGTCAGGAATTTAATTCGAGCAGTGTGTGCACCACCCCTGCACTCGCACACATGTATAAAAAACGTGCACGCACAGAGTGCAGGGCTGGTTAAGAGGCTCACTGCGAGCGATGCCACATCCATCTTATAAATGTCGATCGGTGGTGCTGGACATTGTACGCGTTATCGATACCGAGGCCTCAGTTGGCAGCTACGCGACTTGTTTAGTCGCGGCCCCTAGGGCGTGAGGGTAGCCTTACCACCTGCTGACGTGCCACATGGAGCACGTGGGTGGACTCTTCACCGCCACGCAAACAGTAGCGGCGCTCGGCGTGCTCGTCACATCCCGTTGTCCACTGACGCTTTTACGGCCACCCCCTTACACGCAATGAGAGCGGTTCACAGCTCTTCGTCATTATGCCGCTAGATGAAGACCTCCTTCCCATGCCATGTTGATCATCGGGGTTATTTAACCACACTTCACCGAGTGAGTCAATGCATAACTGGTGAAGGGGCAACGCAGGACCAGTTCACATATCACTTGCCAAAATGTTAGCCATGTCCGGGAATCAAACTCGGGTCACCAAATTAAGTGTTGTGTGTTAACCACCATGCCATCATTCCACGCCTGCCCGCTACACCCCCCCACCACCCCCTTAAACTTTATCATGATCATTATATTCTGCCATAAACAATCCACTGCTGGATTAAGACCTCCCCAAGTCGTCACCATCTTTCACAATTCTGCGATGTAATAATCCACAAAATGAAACCTAAACACAAGCTCCTTTCGTCACTCCATCTCCATCCTGGACATACTTTCATATATGCCCCATTCCCTATAAACTTTATGAAATATTAAACATAAAGGGATAATAAAATGGTGTATACTGTGTTCGAGAGTACTGCTTTTATGACAGCAGGCGGTATAGCTTTACATCTGTATGAAAAGGCTGAAACGCACCAACATGGCGATTTGCCCCATTGGTGTTTATGGAGATGCTGGAACAATTTCACCAAAACTCAGGCAAACAGGAACATTTACTAACGCGATGGGTTAACAAAGACAAAGATCTACCTGTAGACTGAACAGACTCTTGGGGCCAATGATATTGATGAGCACCTATGCGGGCCATCACGGCACACTAGGGGGTGGGTGGCCAGCACCATGCCCGACCGCCTTTGTCTCCCCAGTGATGTTTACGCCACCACACCAGCTACTCATTTGAGGCTGAGTCGACCTAGGGCAGGCCCACGACCAGTTCATATAATCGTCACTGGTCTTAGCTGTGAGCGGGAATCGAAATCGGGTAGCCCAGTTCAAAGCGCAGCACGCAAACAGTTGCCCTATCGCTCCCCTAACATAAGAACTGTTGTTCACCACTAAGTAGTGGTGATGCTACCACAGCGCTTGTGCCATTCTAGGGGCACATTGAGACCATGTTAAATGTGAAAGGCCCACTGGCAAGAGGTCATGGAACAGACCAAAGTGCCACTGGTTGACTGAGATGACTGGCAGATGCAACAACTGTGCTCCCCACAATGAAAACTCTCTACGCTTTAGCCACCCGGTGCTCTGCTCGTTGTTGTGAGAGTATCGCTCCTCTGCTCTCCGTTGTTGCTGGAGCGCGACTGCCTCCAACTCCCCCATAGCACCCTTTACAAACCTCCTCCACAGAGGCCGATTTTGCAATGCTGGTGCCAGTCATCGTCAATAAGCCAAGTCTAATCATCTACATATCCTTCTGTACCATATCAGTCCATCTCTTTTCTAGTGCGTGCCATGCCCGTTTAGCCCCCTTTATCAGGCCGATCAGAAGCATCTTGGGCATGCCTGTGGCCGGGAATGCGGGCTCCATGACCCAGCCAACACAGCCTCGCTTGCCGCAGCAGCTCACGGATGGGACTGTGTCCAGCTCTTTCCAGGCTCTGTGAACTCCTCACGCAATCCAGTCTGGTTAAACCCAGGATAGACTATAGGCAGGCTAGCCTGAATGTTTCACACTGGTGCAGATGTTCCTTTAGAGGGCTCCACGTATTCCAAGGATAGAGAAGGGAGGACAAGCCTGTGGCTGACAAGACCTGGAGCTTTGTATGGAGCTCCTCAGCACCACGTTCACACATGTGTGCACACCTGCACACTTTAATCGACACTCGTATAGATGTAGAAATATTTATTTAATTTCTAATAGGTTTTCCCAAAGAGGCTACACTGTGTCTAACACATGTCTCATTTACAAGCCTATCCTGGAGGGGATGACAGCTACCAGCATGCTCCACCAGCAGGGGAATGAAACGGGGGAAAAAAATAATCGGTAATTGACGAGGAATTAATCTAGAAATAGATGGCGTAGCTCTCGCCACGTATAATGCATTGAATTTATGATACGAATTCTTGGAATTACACCGAGACGGAAAGAGGAACATGTGCAGCAGAGAAGATATATCAGGTGGAGACATCACATTGACCCTCAAGCCAAGTAAGTGGGCTTGGAGCAGGACACGTCGTTAGAAGGGATTATAGCCAGCAATCGAGACTCACGATGGAGTGGCGGCCAAAGGAGAGAACAGACGCAACAGGACATCCACCGATGAGATAGAACGATGACATCAGCTTGTGTGCAGGAGCTAGATGGAGATCGTGCGACAGTAAGCGATGACAACGGCTTGGTGAGGCCTATATCCAAAATTGGATAGTCTGTGGTTGATGATAATGGTGTTTGAATCATAGCCACATTGTCATTATTATACACCTATAATATACATAAAGAATCTCATGCTTTGGGATTAAATAGCAAAACCACGATGCTCGATCGTAAACTACAGCTGTCCAGAGTTGAGACAGAAATCCAAATGCTGTTCTCTGTAAGTGAGTTGACCAAATATGGTTTTGGCCATACCAGCGAGTAAGGTACATGTTATATCGGAACTGTTTGTTTAAAGCAGGCCACCGAATTCCACAGGCATGCATTGTGGCGCACCAATGGCTCGTAACAATGGCTTTTCCTGGCAAGCAAAAAATATAGAAAACACTTTTTATTCAAGACACATTATGGGATGCGCTCTGACTAGGTGCAAGGCGGCAGCCCCGTCCGCGTGCTGCGACGAAGGAAGAGGGGGAGGTCAGACATTCGACCCGTGGCTGCTCACAAGCACATGGCCGCCAGGCATTCATCACTTGGGAAAGTTGTGCAAGAGGACAGTTGACAGCAAAGTGTCGGCAATTTTGGGGATGTCAGGGAGCACCTTGATGATGAGTGATGTTAACAGATGACCACATAGAGCCATGGTAGGATAAACAACGACAGTGGATGTAACAAAAGCCATCCGAGAGGAAACTAGGTCGGCCATTCACGGCAACGGCACAGCTGTAGGTTGCCACTGTTCAAGGCTAGCTTGGAGGATCACTGTCTCTTTGCAATAGAATCAAAATAAATAACATGTAGCCAAAATAGTTTGGGGCCAACAAGTAGATGAAATTATGGAATAATCTTCTGGGATTTGTAAAAAGCAATATGCATGTTACATCAACCGATATGGTCACAGTGAATGAGGAGCATCCCAAAGACATGCTCATACCCCGAATTTTCTGCTTTGCATACTTGGCTGAATCGTTAAAATGGCCACTGAATCTCTGCTCAAGATTCAGTGTCTTTCATAGAACCAAAGTGATGGTTTTCTGTCTCATCCACTCTGTGACCCTTGCCTGTGCAACCACCAACAATTTAATCTTTTCTGAAGAGGTGAAAGATCGCTTCATAACTGCAATAAAACATGGGTAAACATGGTATTTATAGGGAGACGTTCCATTGGAGCTCTAATTGACAGATAGGATAGCTAAATCACGGAAAGCCAAGCTTGAGAGGGCAGGTGACAGCCACGAGGCACATGGGTTGCAATGTTTAAAATCCTTGCAACTCAAGAGAGGCCATGTGTAAAATTGCATCCACCATACCGAATTTCAGTTATAATTAGGCACAGTTTAGTCGCTGATTGTACAGTGCATGCATTTGACATGCAGCGCTGTGTTTTCACACCACAATTTCTTATCTACCCGGACATCGTGTTCCTGGTGCCTTGATCAAAGGGGCACAAAACCAGAATTAGACTGTATATTAACAGGCGCTACCGAATGACCCTGGCTTTACTGCTGGAGCTTTGCCTAGATCGGGGAAGGGTTGTGTTATGGCGAAACACTTTCTTTTCCTTTAGCAGGATCATCACTACACTGGCAAAAAATAATCATTTTATAGACCTCGAGTAAAAGACAAGATGCAAAGGTACCAACAAAATACACTTCAGCACAGGCACCCAGATGAAAATGAACATATTGATTGACTGATGCAATATCAAGCGAGGCTTTTTATTTGGATGACACCGCTTCCTTTAAAAATTATTTATTGAAAAAATAAATACAATACGGAGCAGATATTATTTTGTATTGTATTGAGATCGATGCAACATTGCTTTGAAATACAATTTTTATCAATGTAACTGATATTGTCATGGTATAAGAAAAATTCGCTGGCGTTCAATGAGGTTAAAATCCACCGGGATTCGTTATCTCGTCAGGCCGTGAAATAAATAAAACAAATATTCTGTTATTCACTCACATAGGTGTTACACTAAAATAAAAAGATTATTCCTTAAAAAAAACATTATTCGAAATGCATCATGAATGCACGGTGCTGTTTGTGATGTTGCAGCTACAGAATGTGCTGCAACATCACAAATCTACTCCCTGTAATTTACTTCCTGCCCTCCACACTGCGAGACATTGTCTTCGATGCACTTCATTCACACCTCAGGAGATGCTACTTTACCCATGAAGTCAAACATCAGAGGTACTGCTTGGTGTGCAGCATGACCGCTTGTGAACGGGCAAAAGCGTGAAGCGAGGGAGCTTTATATTAGCGGGTTTTAATCAGAGTGCGGCTTTCGGTGGTGTAGCGACACGCCGACCGGCACGAAACAAGGCCCTGGGAGGACACACGACGCACAGTGGTGTGAGCTGTCTGCTGCCAAGAGCGATGACATCACCTTTAACCCTTCACTTGCACGCCCAAAAGCAGGGAAGGAATTCAAGCATTACATGGTGGCTGGCTGTGCAGTGGAGAACAGTTATTAGTTTTCAACATAGCTCTTCTACGATCATCTGAAGGGTTGTTCAGTTTGGTCTCAAATAAATATAATAACAGAAAGGCTCTTAATTAGCTTACTATAATTATAAAGAAACTTCTGAGTGCCAGCAATGACAGGCAGAAATTTTTAAAAATACATCTCAGTGATTCAAAACATTTTATAGCTAAGCCGGCGACAGAGATGATCAGTGTCCTGGCCACATGATGTGACAGGTGGGGAGATGTAGAGACAACTGAAAAACGAGAGAGCGCCTGGAACCCCAGCACACTACTGTTGCTTATCAAAACCCGTGCCAACCCCCTGTCGTGGTCATTGCCTACGGTCAGGCTGAATGCCTTTGGCGCTCGATGCTTTGATGTGAGAGTGGCCGGCACGTGGGTGACGGGCGGCAGGGAGTGTACACGTTACCGCGCGTGGGCAGATGGTCCATACTCCTGGCTGGGGCAGGCGCTGGTCTGGGTCCTGGCGGGATGACCTCATTCCTCGTCCGCCTGTTGGGTCCTGAACACGAGAGGGGAAAAAAGGTACGTGTGCGTGCGTAAGCACCGTGGAGGCAGACAAATCAAGAGATAAGCTGAGATGCAGTGCAGATGGCAGACAAGACACTGAACAGGAGAGAACAAGACGAAGATTAGAGCACGACCAACCGATTAACAAGCCGCTCTCAGGACCTGCCTTAGGATCAAACACAGACGAAGATTTTCTTATCGGAGAGCCAGAAAAAAAGACAACAAGACGATCAAACAACTGCAATCACAGTATTCAGTTATAATACAGGTGGCTGGGCCAACCACACAGACAAGAAGCATAGACAAGGCAGCTCCTTAGCCTGGCTCACTAGCATGCTCACCGATAAATGCAGGGCCATGGCACACAACCTATTTTTTGTAATACAATGCTCCGTATGAATCATAGGCACAGTCGACAGTGCCGACTGCGCATGCTCTGCGTTTTTTTTATTCCAGCTGCAGTTATTAAGTCTATAAAAACCATCACGCAAGATATTTCCAGCACACGAATGAACAAAAACGTTTAAATAATACGCGTCAACAAAAATAATGTGGTCCGTCACTAAACTAACATTTAGATTAACCATATATACGTGCACTTAGGCTGATTGTCAAGCAAAATCGCATTCCATTCACTGCAGCCAATTAAGACCGTGGGACCCCGTGGCAGAGGTCATCCAGGCTGCAGAAGATTCATGTCAGGGCTTGCCAAATACTCACATCTCAGGCTCGCCCTTCATGAAACAATACAACAGCTTATGGCCCTTACAATTGTAATAAAGTATAGACTTGAAACTGGGACAGCACCAATTTCTGTGCCTTCAGAGGCAGCCGGGAAGGGAAAGGTTAGGCATTCAAGTTGGCACCATATTTCCTTGAAATATGGTGCCCGAAGCGTGTGCAGTAAATGCGACATAAATATGGCACAACCGAGGTCGGGAATTTTTCTGCGCATGGATTCACGCCTCGCTTCGATTCGAACTGCTGGTAACGCTCCGTTCCCAGGAAACTATTTTTAACATAGCACGCTGTCACAGAATTATCCAAGTCCTCATTTTGTTGCCAGTGTCAGCGTGGGCTGCTTTCTGCCGTCTGAAAATAATTGGCAGAGATTTGCAGGGGTAGTGAGGGTACGGGGAACATGACGTCTCTGCAAAAGCGAACTAGATCTGAAAGAACCGCAGTCGCTGGCTGCAACGGCTCTGAGAAGCAAAGCGGCGAGCCTTTGAACAGTGCCCGGCCGAGATCCCAAATCCGTTTTGCGGGTTTGGGATCTCGGCCATTCACCATTCGCAGGGTACAACAATCACGGCGAGTTCTGTGACATTCCACCCTCGCGAGACTGCGCGTCCCGTACGCTGCACTGTTGCCACAGCAATGCCCGGGCAAGAGACAATATTCGGCTGCGTGCCATTGGGCAAAGGCAAATGCTCTGCCGTGTGTTTGAGGGCTGCTGACGGCTTGAGGATGCCAACAAGAATGCCTCGTGTTGTTGGGACATGTACCATACGAAACAAGGTCATCGGTATGTGTTTATAGAAATAGTTTCCATGCCCTAGAACTGTTGTATAAATTACTAAAGGCTGCATTATGCGTTATTGATAGGGTCACATAATTCAACCCTTCAATATGGTGGAAAATGATATTTTTTTGGAGAAAATATACCCATGCCCCCCGATCGCCAACAGTAGGGCAAATTGCCAAGCAAAACGGATCTGGGCAAAAGAGTTTACAATTAAAATCTGCTTAACCAGATGCTACATCAAGAAACCAATAAATCAGTAACATTGACAGAATTAACATCTCTCTTAATGGTTAATTTAAACAGTAAGCATTGGAAGAGGGGAGAGTAAGCTGTGACACTGGTTCTACATTGTCCATCAAAGAGATACTTTTTCTTCTTTGATTTGTGATTTCACCAATTTTATTGATCAATTACCTAGATAATATACAGTAACAGAGCTATAGATATTGGAAGCCAGTGAATACTCACTTGTGTAATGTAAAAATAGAATTACAAAACGAGAGTACATTAAAAACAAACAAAACTGTACGCCATAACTTAAAAGTTAAAGCATCAAAAGCAATGTTAGCATCAATTTTTATTTAAAGATTTCGTGACTGCAGGGATTCATATTCTTGGTTCTTTCGGTAAAGTCACGTAGAAGGGAAACAATAAAATAATAACAATATAAAACAATAAAATTCTCACGACGGTGTGGATTTCACACCTGATAATGATTGCTTGTGTTGCAGCCGAATCGTCGTGAGAATTATTTTATTGTTTCCCTTCTTCGTAACTTTACCGAAAGAACCAAGAATATAATGTTAGAATGATTATGCAATAAATTCAATTACGGATGAAAGTCTCTTCACACTATCATCATATTGCTTGACGATACATGCTGCGTTGTGAAGGAGGGGTCACAGGACCGGTTAAGATGTCACTTAAAACTGACGTTAGCCGTGGCCAGGAATCGAGCTCAGGTCATCAAGCTTATGAGCGCAGTGAATTTATCCACTACGCCAACACCCTCTGATGAGCACAGTTGGCTATGTACGGTGCTACACATACATACAATAACCTAGAAGAAGCAAATATAGAAACGCAAATTCCCATAAGTATATCTCCGTGCATTAACCATTGACAGAAAATTAAGCGGAGTACATTTCAGTCGGTGTCGCGGCTGCCTTTTGCATTTACTGCCGACCATCTTTACACAGTAATTAAGAACATTTAAGTGTATACGAAGCAGCCAGGAACCGATTTATGAAAAAGGCACACAGAGAGCCCCGAGCAGTGGCACAGATAACAATGGGACATTTGACCCTCGTTTCATTCGGCCGACCCAAGGTGGCAGCGTTATTCTACATCCGAGATTGCGCTCGATAACAGCTACTGCATTCAAAACGGCGAAAGAAACAAACGCCAGTGTCAACACAGCCAGAGCGTGCATGGTGCCAGGAGGCCCTACTCACTGGAGCAGTCGACGGGGAGCGTACTGTTGTGAAAGAGTGCCAGAGTGATGAACGGCAGGATTAGAAATACAGGGGAGGTTTGATCAAAAGACAGCTGGCCAGGGGATGCAGGGCAGGGGGGGCCAAGGCCCCGGAACGCTGCAACCACAGTAACTGTGTGTGTGTGCTTCACGCAGTCACCCCACCCCCACCCGGCACACCCCCCCGCCACCCCCTTCCCCCGGGCGCGAATGATGACTAAGACTACCGACCACTACTGCTCCTCCTCCCAACGAATCATCACACCTGCCTGCCGCCTGCCCTCGAACCCCCCAAACACCTGGGGATGACGAGAATATAATGTGATGTAATCGCACGCGCATCACAAGTGCAGTGACGCGCATGAGAGGTGCTATTGTAACGCAAAATGACGAGATTTGGAGCGTAAGCTCTTGCTCGTGGAAAGCGTGTTTGTGTTAGGGATGCGGCATTTGTCCTGGGCTTAAAAGACTTGCACGTGATGTTTGTGCCAGCCGTCTGCCAGCAGGTTCCCATTAACAAGTATGACGCAGAGACGCCGCTTGCGTCATTCTTAATGTGATTAAATAACAATTTCGGTGTGAATGGATTTTCAATACTGAGATCAGTGTCGATGCCACCCACCCCGGCAGCATCGCCAAATGACAGAGTGCAGTTTGCATAGCAATCAGATAGTGCAAGGATGCTCATCAGCGCCACAGCTAACAGTGATTCATGTCACAGTTGTTCCATTGAGCAGCTGAATTAAGCGCCTGACCTAATATACAAACCCATCATCTAGAAATGCCACAAGTGATAAGTTTGCTGTCAGAAATATAAACACGTGATTACTGATTAGCTACCACATAACCCACAATCATCTCCCTCTACCGAAGCCTCAAGACAAAGCATTTTCACCATCATCCCTGCTGATTAACATACCTATTATCTCTTTGTACTGAAAGCTCCTACGCCAGTGTTTTTTCATTGGTGTTCTCTGCCTTTTTTTCCATCTCGAGACGCTCACCGCTGTCGCCTTGGGGCTAAATCGGAGAAGGCTGCTTTGAAGAGACATGGGTTGGCCAGCACTTCAGAAATGTATTCTAACATACAATGGCGTAGTCTGCCTAGACATGCCTCTATAATCCATAGTGCGGCTCAAGCCACTCGCTGAGTTTTGCCTGTATGTACAGTATTTCATAACGGCGTTTTGTTGAATCAATCAGGGTAATGAGGCCATTTTGATTTAAGAAATAAAATTTAAACAAAATAATTCACTCTTTGTTTTATCATCCTGAATTTTACAAACAAAACCATGGTTTTACGTTCCCAATACATTGACAAGTATTGTCGACTTACAATCCTGAGCTTACATGGTGTCAGTCAGAGAATCATGTTTATATCTGCACAATAAGAAACATATTTGGAATAAAGCAGCTGTATGACCAGCAAGATAACACACAACTGCCACGAAAATTTACACGATGGGTGCACACAGAGACACAGGGGCATATAGATCACATACCTCACGACGCCACGCAACGGCGAGCACATGATGTTCAACGAGGATTGCTATTCATGACTGCCTACGTGTCAGAATCTCTCTCCGAGACACAAGCTCAGGATGGCTTAGGATGGCCCGAAGGCACTCACATCACTAGGACACCTAAGACGAGCGAGGATTTGGAGGCATCAGGCTTTAAAGATGATGATGATGTAGAGGCGAGAGAAAAGATAATTGGTGGAATAATCATTACATCAGCTGTTGTAAATCAAAATGATCTTTAATTCAAAATGTGTCTACATGATATTTTCCAGAGATAGCCTAATCCAATGTGGATAATTGCTGCTCAACCCTGTGAATAAATTTAAACTGATGTACGTACTTGGCTATTAGTTGGCAAATAAAACTAGCTTCATTTGGTACAGACAAAGATGTAAAGAGATGTACAAACATACGCAATGCAGTGATTCCAGTAAACGACCACATTTATCATACCATTTGTTGTAGCATTAGCTTATATGGTCCTCAAATGCGAGATTGATATTCCAAGGATGTAGTCAAAATCAAACAAATACACTTCCTCCAAATTCATTTCCTAGAACTGTCAAAAAAATACTGTGAACAGTGCAGTAGTGAGGTTAAAAAATAAGGTCAGAAACGTAACCAAGGAGATCTGCCCTGGGGGTGTGCTGAAATTGAAAGAGTGGTCACTCCAGCCTTCCCAGTGCTCTCCTTCTCCAGCTAATCGCTTAACCGACAGGGAACACCAATGTCACCTCCTCTATCTCCTCCACCAATCATAGCGCAGTTTACTAGCAGTGGCCCGCTATAATATTACTGGGACTCTTCATCCCCAGAAATTCAAAATCTCACTAGGTAAGGCATCTTTACTCTGAGTACAATGTATGTCATGAATAGGTAAGATAATGTGAAGTGAGATTTAATGAATTAAATCCCAAGGGAGGTATTACTTATTACAAAAAGGTTCCAAACGAGACAGCAGGCAGTTAAAACACATTCACCACATTTGGGTACTAGTCACAATAAATGTAATCCAATTTTTAAGGCTTTCTAAGGTTGCGGGTGTTAATCCATTAAGCTGTCTCACCACCCGTGTCTCTCTGTAACAGGGGGCACAATAACTATCATCTGGAACAATCCATTGTGAAGGAAATGTTTGCATAAAGTTGCGTTGCTATTCGGGACAAATTGATAAAGGGTTACTCAAAACTTGGCAAGAAAAACCAGCGTTAAAACCTTTCACATTGTAGGTCAAGGCGATGACGTCACACATCATGCCCCACCTCCCTCCCGATAGCAACATTACAAATATTTGAGCCAGTCGCTGTGCAATGTCAGCTCATTGTCCGTAAAAATATATAACATTATCGTCGTACGACAAACACATCTTGGAAAGCGTTACCGAATCCTTGCTAATTAATATTTTTTCATCCTCGTTTAGAAATATAATGCTCTGCCCAAACAGCCGCCACTGCGGGGGAGGGTAACGGGATCGTTCTAAGGTGGTACCTGCAGGGCCGTGCCCTGGCCGGGGTGCAGTCAGGACCGCCCTGCTGCTGGAGTGAGCACGTGCGGGGCGAGGCGGGCAGCGAGGAGGCCAGGGTGCCCGGTGGCCGCCCTTCCACAGTGGGGGCCTAATCCCCCGGTCGGACAGGAGGCCTCAGCAGGTTTGCTCACTGTGGCCACGTGCTCATGCCGTCCTGAAAGGGGCACACATGGTGGATTCATTTTACAGCTTTAGTCACAATGCCCTATATCAGTGATATAGGTTATGACGAATTCAGCCGGAAGGCACCCAATCTCATATCTCAAAAGCTAGACAGTCTTATAAAGGTGGCCACAATGCATCATAACAGGTTGCTATATGCTGCCGTGATGGGCAGCAAAGGTCAGGGTAATCCATCTGTACGGAACTTTCATTGTTCCTCCGGGCGGTGGTGACACATGCCTGTAATCCATCCAGCACTGTGGAGACAAGGGTTGGCCAATCACACGAATGTTGTGAACCTCATTTCCTGTGGGCGTTCAGGTGCCATACCATGGCTCGCCAGGAAAACGCAGGACAGTGAGTGGACAAACAGCCATGTTTACATTTGTACGGGGATAGAGTGTTTCCCCCTTCCTCACACGCATGGGTTGTCTCCGGGTGCTCTGGTTTCCTCCCACTTGCATAAACAGTCATCATTTATTGGCTGAAACATCTTAAGATAAAAACCCAATGCCGCACTCCAAACTCTGTGTGGCTTTCCGGGACAAATAAGCAAAGAATAATAATCATACGCTTGAGTTTTCACCAGGTACGCAGGTTTTCTCTCGCACGCGAAATATTCAGTAATGGACATGGATGAACATCCCAGTGCAAGACTAAACTAAGGGTCAGTGAGGCTCTCCTGGATGAAGGGCATTATGTATCATATAGAAATATGAATGGCTGAGGCGACCCCCAGAACGAATTAAAAATTGCTAAATTCTGGTTGCAAGCCACGTGTTCTAACCACAATGCCACCTGGGCAGATTATATTCCAAGAATGCCATTAATGTGTTATTTTAATTCACTATTATAATAACGTGATATATCTTTATAAAGTGTGCTACTGCCCCCTATGTTGTTTTGTGGTGATGTTCGCTATAAATCACATTACATAATAAAAAAGACAGTTTCTCCGTGTAGCCTTATAGACTGCTGTGGAAAGTGCTGATGGCAAGCTGCCCATGAAGCGCGGAACGCAGCACAAACGGGGTGGGGGTGGCCAGCAACCCACCCGGCCACCATTAATCCTCCCTGTACCGGTGTTTAGAAAACACAACAGTTACTAAATATTATTAAAGCTGAGGCGACCTAGAGGAAACCAACAAGTGGCTCTAAGATATCACTTGCGAGCGATGTAAGCCGTGGCCGGAAATCTAAGTCGGATCGGCAGTTTCAGAGAGCAATGTGCTTCCCACATGCCACCACTCCCCATTAAATAACACTTCTCTGAGCACATGCAGAGTGCCGTATCCCATGGTCAGTAAGATCATTCCCAGCTCAAGCATACGCAATGTGGCCAAATGGTACAAGCTCAAGAGCAACACTCCCGAGTAGCATGTACCCGTATTCCCGTGCGAAAATATGACATGGAGACGGGACCATCTCCCACAATACCACTGTCACGCAATACACCACAGACCGTACCACAGACCTGTATTCATATTCACCGTCCAGATGTAGATGGGCTTGCAGAAATTATTCGACACGATTGCTATGCAATCAGAAATGCATTCGTTTTACCATCCTTTCAGCGAAAATAGTTTTGTTTGTTAAATACATGATGCATGCTGCATGCCTAATGCGCCTTCTGGGCAGTCTTGGCTCAAGCGAGCTGTGTGAAGTTTGTACATTGCTCAGCCAGAGGCTAATAATGACAGGATCGGTGAGGAGGCAGGGCTATGACGCCACGGAGGAGCAGGCACTTAGCTCGCATGCGCTAAAGGGGTAGGTGGGTTCAGGATTGAGGCAGCTTTGATGAGGCTTACTCGATTAGCATAACTGTCCGTCAAAACGCGTGACTCATTGATTAAATTGAATTTGCATTTAATTGGAATGAGATTGAATGTTGGACTTCTGAGAAACGTGTAAATGTCACAATGTGCTTAAGATCAGTAGTTCTCAACCTTATAGCTGGCTTTCAAAATCTCACGAACCCCCATTACAGTGAGCAGCGATGTACGCAACTCCAACAGTACAGAGCAGCAGCAATTTGGGGTGGTGGAAGCATTCCGATTTTGTTTATTTGCTTGCTTTCACGAACCCCACGATACCTTGCGCACCCAAATTAACAGACCATGCTAATGATGCCCGAAGCCCACACACTGGTTCCCAGACGTCATGTCGATGTTCTCAAGAATAACGTGGCGTTTAATCCATTGACATTTAACAACACGAGAGGGCCGCAATGAAATTATTTATAAGCCGACAAAGGGTACATTCTGTTATCATGCTTGCCGAGACCCAAAGGTCTCCACAAGCTGCCGCTCTCTCAACATTTAGGAAATACCCACAACACTATCGCAAAAGGCTTCTCTCGACATGACGCGAGTACGCTCGAAAGACCCCATCATGACCGAAACAGCGTGTGTAGGCCTTCATCCAGAAGTGGATTCACAAAGGGGATCAGTGAAAACATGTGAATGAACGATGCATTATCCACAACACTGTGTAGCCGATGGGCAGATAGAACGCTGAGAGACAAGAGACTGAATGTCAGAACGCAAGGCAGCAGCGCAGGATGGGAATTAAATTAAGCCAAAGCAAAAACAACAAAAGAGACAGCGATTTAATTCGACTTTGCCCTATCCGCACAGAACAAATGAGTTTAATTGATTCTGGAAACCTTTTGCGAGAATGTCGTTTAATTTAAAGCTTCTCCCTGGCTCTTCCACACCGCTCATTCAGCCGCTCAGATTCTCCGAATGCCCCTTTCTCTCTGAACAACCTGCGTCTGGCCCATTACCGAATGCGAAAGGGCACACATCCAGACAGATTGCTTAAGAAACATCTCAAGCGCACCCACGAAAGCCACCTGATGTGCCAATTCTCAAAGCGCAACGATAACTGAGAAGACGCGCGCGTGTGTGTGTACGAGTCCCTTCGATGGTCACGACCAGCTCTCTTGCTCGATCTGTTTTCACAATGAACGCGTCTAAATGCCCCTCTTTGCTGCATGGCCGGAAGCACTAGACGGCGCTCTTTAAGAACTGTTTGTGCCCGAGACTGTAAATATGATAATGAGAGCAGCGCCAGAGAGGACACCTGCGGGAGCGTGGCGCTCTGTTGGGTGTTTTTTTAAACACAGAGCGGGCGGCGTGTGCTTGGCCGAGATTACCAATCGCGGGGTTGAGTTCACGGCTGCACTCATTATTTATGGTCAGTGCGCCGCTGTCCCGAGCTATCGCACAGAGGAAATGTCTCATCTTCGCACCTCGTTGTTATTCCGTTAAAATGTGCGTTATCGCAGGAGAACGGCTGCCCCAAGAGACATTTCGTTGATATGTTCAACAACTTCTCCCTCGATGAATAATTTATAATTAAGCACGTTATTTCACTTCGCACACACACACTTAGGTCGGCACATGCAATAGTTAAAAATTATAGAAGCATAAACTGAAATGTGCTGGCTTGGTTTAAATTCCCACACTACCTGTCATGAATCAGGGCTTAGTCACGGCTACCATTGTCACACCCTGGCGCTGTGCAGCGGTGGGCGAAATCATTTACTATTCATGAGCCCGGCTGGCCTACAGACATTGCTGATGACATGGAGATGAGCAACACATATTAGCTATTCGGCTAATTAATGACCTGCCTGTTAAGATTAAGAGTGTAAATTGCCAACGATGAGCTTCTGTAAAAAAAATAAAGCTACCCTTTTATATTCACCTCCTTTTCGCGGAACCTCTGAATGGTTCCCTCCTTTAAGTCGGAACACCACGTACAGTACATTCGTGCTTGTTCTAATGGTTACCATGTCAACTGCTGTATGAGTGTAGAATTCTGATAGTTGGAACATCAGCGAGCGCAGAAAAAAACCCTCAATTAATATGCAGCCTCCACACATGAGCAACTGGAGCACGCATTACTGCCAATGGCCGTACCCCGATTCAAAACCCAATCTTACGTTTTTTTTTAAATATCAATACATCTGAATGTCGCTGCTGCTGCTGTTGCTTCATACAGAATAAACAACGCGAATTCAAGACTTCCATACCTTCCCTCCTCCCGCAGACCTCGCCTCCAGCCGTCAATGAGCGGCCTTCTTTTCAAGAATGCCCACCTCGCCCGCGGAGGCGAACAACAAAAAGCCGTCAACATCACCACCATCACGAGCGACGGCGAGATTCAGAGAGGCCTCATCATCACCACCACCACCATCACCACCACCACCCACCCCTTGGCTCGCTCGCTCGACGCGAACGCGCCCGAGAGATAAGGGGACGGGCGGCGCGGCCACCGGCGGACGAGCAGAAGACGACGAGACCCGATGGCACCTCGGTGACTACATTCATCCACCTGCCCCCGCCGCCGCCGCGGGCTCGGCGCCGGAGAGCGCCGCCGGAAAGAGTCTCTCGCGGGAAGACGACGACGACGATCGGCGGCAGTGCGCGATGTACGCGCGGCTGCTGCTGCTGCGTCTGACTCACCAACACCTACACACAGCGGCGCTCACGTGGTGCCGAGCCCGAGGAGCCCACACCGCTTGCTCTCTCACTGACTCATGCAAATTAGCGGCTCCCCCCCCCCCCCCCCCCCCGTGAGCCGTCGTTGTAACGTCGCTCCCGAGCGAATGTCTCCGTGTTGGTGTCTGCGGCCGCGGGGAGCGTGCGGACGGAGCCGTCGCCTCGGGCACCCCCCCTGGCCCCCCCCGGCCACCGGCCCGAGTGAGTTCGGGCCGGGCACGGCGAGGAAAGTGGCCGAGCGAGACGGCAAATTTCGGCGAGAAAAGCCACCGCCAAAGTGGTCCTCACGTCGGTTCTTGCCCGCCTGGCTCAATTTATTTTCTGAGCACGGCGTTTTTATTATTATTATTTACGTGACATGCACATGTGGTACAGTGTATATGCTGACCTCAATCTAATGGGGCGAGAGTCGAGAGCGCCTTCATTTACAAGCGATTTGCACAGCAAATTGCGAAGTGTTTCACAATGACAGATATTACTTTTTTTTTTGCTCCACATTAATGCGAAAGCTATAACCCCCGTTTCGATTATTCCACTGCTTAACGTAATACCTGACAGGAGTGCATTTCCATTCTATATTGCACTAAGCCTCCACCCTCAGCAATAGTGTACATTCAAGCAGCCCATTCAAGCGAGAGCAAGCTTATTCCAAGCCTTCATAGGGTGAGATATATTTATACAGTACATACAAATTAAATCATGACAGTGGGCCTCCGCAGTGAAGCAAGATGTTTATTTTACATTACAATTGCCCATTGGTATCAATTGAAACAGGACCCTAACAGAGACAATGGCTAATGCCGATAACGACGGATGGTGTTCACGATGATGTTATCTAGAGTAGGTACACGATTTCTATTTTAAGTCAAAGTGACTTCCTTATCAAATGAGCACCGAGGCATCGGTGTTCATCTCCTGCTTATAGCCCTGAACCAGCGGTGGAAATTGCACATAGCTATTGCAGGGACAAGTCTGTCCATAGTAAAACCCACATACCACCAAGTGGTTATGATGTTCATGTCAACTCATATACTTCCAACTGCACAACTAGATAGATTAACTATATCAGAATCCGAATATTTATACTGGAGGAATCCGATGAGCTATAATGAAATATGTTATTAACCATGCAAAAAAGATTTAACTGCACATATTTGGACCATCTTATTTGACAGGTACTATTCTACTTTACCGAGTGTTGACATCCCCAGCGTTTAACAGCACTCTCCTCTCCTTTGTTGTATTTGGATTGCCAACCAACAACTCTCCTCTCCTTTTTTGTATTTGGATTGTCAACCAACATCGGGTAAAACAGGGGTCGGCAACCTACGGCTCCGGAGCCGCATGCGGCTCTTTACGGGCTGCTTCTTGACGATATGTACGTATGTACAGTATGTACTCAGATGCATTGCGGCTCTTGAAATACTGAATTTTGTACCGAATTGGAAAATGGCTCTTCTTGTTATTTTGGTTGCCGACCCCTGGGGTAAAACATTAACAAGATGCACCAACTGTTCTCTTTTAGCTCCGCCCCCCTCCCTAACACGTTACTCTCATTGGCTTCCACATTCAGATAACCCCATCCCCCTTCCCCCCTTAAACTTGTATTTAAGAGCTTGACTCTTGGAATGTTGCCTCACTTGAGATAGTAAATCTAGCTGTGACGGTCCCACCTGATGATGAAGACTTGTGTTGCCTCCGAAACGTCGTGATTTATTATTTTATTTCTATTATTATTTATATTACATTTTTATTATTTATTTTTTACCTACGTGACTTTACCGAAAAACCTAAGAGTACTGTATAATGAAGCCCTTTTTCACAGATGTCCAGTTAGGGGCAGGTAAGAACGTGACAATTCAAAAACACATGTCGGTGACATGGCCCAGCGATAGCGAGTTCGCCGCTTGTTGCAGAGGTTCACGGTTCGAACTGCAGCAGCCGCCCTGCTTATTATTGCGGTAATAACCATAATAAGTACTATTTAAAAACACGCTTTAATGAAATGTACCGTACGAGTAATGGCAGAACTCCACGACTACAGGAAGTGGCCCCGAGGCTTTCCATAACGTAAGGGACGTGGTGATTTACAGCCAACGTGAGTTGAGCGTGGACAATTAGACCCAAGGCGAAACATAACATAAAAAAGATGGCTTAATTTTTTTTATGATAGAATATAGTATTGTCATCAGTATGACATAAGTATACCAAGTTTGCAGTCAATATCATATTGGGAAGTGAGTTAAAATTGAGTTACAAGTTTTGAGGATACAATAACAACAGAGTGAGTTAATAGAAAGCGTGTAATAAAAAGATTGTTTAAAAATATATTTTTATGATAGAATATAGTATTGTCATCAATAAGACGTAAGTATACGAAGTTTGCAGTCGATACCACATTGGGAAGTGGGTTAAAATTGAGTTACAAGATTTGAGGATACAACGACAACAACGATAACAGAGCGAGTTAAATAAAAGAGTGTAATAATAACCATAAAAAATTAACCCGTAAAAACAAAGTTTTTCACTATAAATCCTTTATATGCGTGGCATCGGTTTTATTCTATTATTCATTTCTGTTTTTCTTGAGTAAGAGTTTCATTTTTATCACATTGGTATTTTAAATTAAATATGAAATTATTTTTTTCCTAAAAAGTTGGAAAATTTGGAAAAAAAGTTTCACGAAAATAAATTGTCACGCACAACGAGTCTGTGTGCAAAATGTCAGCTCGATTGGATCACGGGAAGTGGGTTAAAAAACGACCGAAAGATTTGCACGGTCGTAAGCGCGAAAGCAAGCAAGCAAGTGAACTTAATATAAAGGATTTAAAAATGTGCGCTGTTTGCTTCACTGTGGACGTTAAATATCCAGTGCCATCATTCTCAAGAGTAAGTAAATTGTGTGTGCCAGCATATGCTCTTAATTACTTGCCGCATTTTAAATACTACCCACAGATGATTCAGTTGGAGTAACTGTCCCCTTCACCAGATAACAACCTATGGTGGTGGACTACCAGGCTAACTACACTAATTACACTGGGAGTAGCTACAACGGACATGACCCCAGCTTGGGTCCAGGTCCACGTGTTGGTGACGCTTCTCGGACATTGAACGTAGATTCTTCAAGATGACAACAGCCACGCTGAAACCCGGTTCCCTCTGGGGACCCGACTTATATCCTCACTGGTCGTGGTTGGCTCCGCCCTTGGCCACCTTCTCAAATCCTCGAGTAGGATCTCCCTCCGACACATGACCACCCTTAGCCCCCACTTGGGGCCCCTGTGTAGACTTTACCAGTCACGTGTCCTCCGGGGTCAACCAGAGTGCGATGGCCTACAGTAACCCCATTCCATGGCTGACACTCTCACACCCCATCCTGTAGGGATCAGCACTGCACATCCACGATGTCTCTACATACGTGTGATGTCCGTGATGCGAGTACATTGCACGCCGTGCCTATCTAGGGGCGGCATTACACAGTGACTTCACTACAACACGCCCCCCCCCCCCTTCGTAGCACTCAGCCGTCCCGGCTGTCAGCTCCCCCTTAAAACGAACCAAGTGAATAAGGTGATAAAAAAGTTAGTAAAAAGTGACTAAAACGCAATGTGTGCCTCAACAATAACAAAGAAATACCCAAACCCACCTATACAATAAATACACTATCTACAAATGTAGATTAACAACGGGGAAAAGGGTGTAAGTACAGAACACAACATGAGAGAAAAAAATGCAGTAATGCAAACGCTCGGGTATCCCCTCCATCACTAACATCTCCCACCCCCACCGTGTAACAACATTCGCAAGCACAATAAAGGCTAGGTTCAGCCAATAACCGATACGCCTGCCGAGTGCGACAACCAACTGACGGTGTGTGTGTGCATGGGGATTACGAAAACCGAAGAGTTTTTGATCGAGTCCTTGTGGCCGGGCCCCCAGGGGAGGTGGACTTGCTCTCCCTGGAGGTCCTGGAGGGAATATGCAAATGTCCCGTCGAACTCGGCTCCTCACGAAGAGCAGTAGGCTGCGTGGACGGGTTCTCCTCTCCCAAATCCAGTGGAGATGGCGCAGGCGACGGCCACGGAGGACGTCAGGCGCGCGTCACTTGAGGACGGGATTGACTCCGCTGAAGACCAACCACAGCGGGCACACACCTCAGCTCGCCGGACACATCTGACACTCGGCCCCTGCGATGTGGAGATGGAACGAACTCGCGCGGAGCGATGAAAGGCTTCAGGCGCGAGGGATGTACAAACCAACTCCGCCACCCCAAGCGGATCTGGACACACTGTGGTCGAACAACCCGAATCACATCAACCGGCCCTCTCCAGGGTTTGAACAATTTGGGCGACGTACCCACCGGTACCTGTGGACAGTGCAACCAGGCTCTGTCCCCAGGTGCCCACATGTGCAGAAGCACAGAAACCCCTCAGCCGCTCATTTGCCAATTGGTGCAAATTGGAATTTACCCTGGAAGCTTCCCGCGCTTCGGAAAGCTTTTGGAAGGGTAAAGCACACAAAGTCAGACATTTTATATTTAGTTTTGTTGGGCGCAGCTCGTAACTGAACATCAATCGGGGGGTCGTGTTCTCTCCCATACATAAAAAAACGGTGAATAGCCGGTGGATGCGCGAGGGGCCATCCTATATGCAGATAGGACTCCAGGAATAATGCAAATCCCAGTCGAGTTGGGACTCGCTGACCTGATGGCTCAACGTGGAGGTCAGAGTCCTGTGCAGCCGCTCAACCATGCCATCCATCTGCGGGTGGTACGGAGATGTGCGTACTTTCTTTGTTCCCAACAAATCGCACACCTCGCGCAACCATTTTGAAGAAAAATGGTTGCCCTGATCGGTCAGAAGACATTCGGGAGCACCCGTGTCCATTACATAGCCATTGAGGAATGTCTTAGTGATCGTCGCCGCCGACTGGTTGGGGAGCGGCCAGGCCACAGTCCAGGGGAGGGGCGTTCACCAAGCCATCCCGGAATGCAACAAATGCGGCCTCCTC